ATTTATGGGGACCGATCTGTTTTGTCTTAAGTTTGACGGAAAAAATCAAGTTGATCGAGGGCGGAAATGAGTAATGCAATCCCCATCGTGGTCTCGTTACCATCCCAACCCTGACTTTATATTTAAATTTTAATTTTAAAATATTAATATTTTAAAAGTATTTATTTCTTTTTTTATCATATATAAGGTTTTTTTTATATTTCACTGTTTTTACTTTACTTCTACCCACTTTTTAATTCTTTTGTCTTTTTTAATCTTTTATATCAATTAGTTTATTACACTATTATCTTTCTTTTACCTTTCAGTTTTTTACATTTCTTTAATCTCTCTAATCAATTTGTTTTGTTTTTTGTAATCTTTTCAATCAATTTCATAAACAAAAAGTTAATTTTTTTCTTTATCTTTTTCTAAATATTTTACATAAATTTTAGTAGTAACTAATATTTATTATTTATAATTTATATTTATTAGGTTTTATTATGTCATAATTTTTTATCTTATTATTCTTATTTGTCATATATCAAATTTTATCTTAATAAAATAATTGTATTTTAAAGGATTAAAAAATTGATAATTTAAACTTTTATTACTTCGAACTAATTAAATAAGAATTAATTTATTAAATATTTTCTTATAAAGTATATATTTCATATTTTTAAATGATAAATTAAAAATGAATTAACTTATATATATATATATATATATATATAATGAAATATTTTAATAATAATAATAATAATAATGTTATAAATATTTTATATATATAAAAATAAAAAATAATTAAATATTTATTTTATATAAATATTTCAATATAAATATAATAAATTTAAAAATATATTTAAATAATAATAATTATAAATTATAAATTTATAAATATTTATTTACGTATAAAAATAATAAAATTAATTTATTATAAATATAATTATTTTAAAATAATATAGATAGAAACAAGAACAGGTAAAAAAATTGGAAACCCAATAAAAATGAAGACTTAATTTTTTTTTTAATAGACATATCAGAACATAAACAAAACGGCTAAAAATGTTGAAGGCAGAATTGGAAAAGCAAAACCACCCGTCCTGCCCGTTGCCATGCTAGTCACCGTCACTCTTTTCTTGCACCACCCAGCATTGTGTTAGGTCATGGTGTTGTATTGGAGATTTTGTCATCTGTTAGAACATTAAAACTTCAACTTTCAGTAACACTCCTCCATAACAGTTTATCTTCAATCACAATTTCTATTTTCACACCACCTTCATGTCTTTTTGTCCCAATCTATTCAATCTTAACTGCTTTGTCCGTTCTGTATATATGTCCCAACTTACGCAGCTTTTTCGGAGGATAACACCTCTATAACACTAGTTGCATGCTACTTTTTTTTTTCCTTGTTTAATACAAAAACATTCTTAGAATATTATAGTATGCATTAATATGCCTCTTAATATATTGTAATTGTGTAACTGGATATTTAGATAATTATTATAATTTGATGGATATCCAACACTTACTTGAAAATCAAAACATAAATTTAAAAGGAGTGTAAAGAAGAAAAAGAGCGGTGCATGAAGCATTATGACCATATATTAAAAATTATCATGGGCCCATCTTAAAAGCAACAAACAAACCGGACCATAAAAAAAGAGTCTATATTGCTTGATATAAACTTAAAAGAATTTTTTTTAGATTAAAAATATTTTTTTGTTGATAATAAAATATGGGATTTTAAAATAAACTCAACATTTATTTATTATCTTATGCCTTCATTTTCTCTTTCACATTTTCATTTGAATATTTATTTTTTCTATGAAGTGGTAAATTTCACTTTTATAGCATTCATATGATATACAAAATATATTTATTATATACAAAATTAGTATTAATAATATCATTAACCATGGTCACTAATTATTTCGGCAAGGTTACTTATTTATTTTATTATATCATGAGTAATAAGTTTACATTCATTTTGCTTGTATAAAATTTATATTCACAAGCTTTGTTAGTGTTAAGTGTGACTCAGTCTGCTTTTTAGGCTCTGAAATATACTTGTTAACTTTGAGTTTTTAACATTTTTAATCGTCATTTTTTAATCTTTATCACTAATTATATTTAGTTTAATATTAAAAATAGAAAGCATTAATTAATATAATTGAGGTAAAAGATATTTTAAATTAAGAAAGCTAAATCTTTTAGACACTTAATTTGATAAAATGATATAGTTTTATATTTGATATAGATAAAGTTAAAAAGTAAAAACATTTGTTTACGGGGAAAGTCTATATTTTTGTTTTCTTTACCTACAGAAAGAGTAAACAGTGAATGAGAAAATTTGAAAAGAAAAAGGAAGAAAGAAGAAACACAGTTGCCAAGACAGTGTAGGTTGAGATTTGGCTATCTGCTAGCACAAGGCAAAGTTACCCTCTTCCTCGAATAGGTCCCATCTGTTGTTGGTTGTTCTGCCTTCACTCTTTTCAGTCTTCACCACTTTATTATTTACCTCCTGTAATCAAACACAAAAAGTTAACTTCTCTTCCTCTCTGTGATCACAAGATTACAAAGTGAAAGGGTTTTAAATTAATGCAGAGACATATGAGAACAGTGGTAATGATGGTATTAGATTTAATGTGGGTTTGGACTGTTTCACACACCATCATGTCATGTGCACAGGAATTTCCATCATTCCCTCTCTTTAAGACTGACACTATCAGAAAATCTTGAGAAGCTGTGCCTTCTCTCCATCCTTTTTGCCTTCTAGCCCCACAACTCTGCACCTCTGCCACCCTAACAACAATTCATTCTCATCTTCCTCTCTTGTTTTTTTCACTATCCAATCCTCAACTGTCTCACATGTATCCTCTTTTACACATCTGTCTAAAGCTTTTTCCTGAGAGAAAATAATGATTTCATTAATTTTTATTGGACTCAGGGAAGAAGGATAATCAGAAATTCTTTATATGAATGTTTCTTCTGCGTTGACATGCAATTCCAACCATTGTTACCTTCAATATGCATCCCAAATCTCACCTTATTTTTCTTCTGTTCTTCCATCACAAGAAAGCATTCCCTAGGTCTTGTAACTGTCTGCCCAGAATATGCATGTGATGATATTTCATTTTTTAACCATTTTAGACCACATACATCATGATTATATATTATGTTGTTTTTAAGAATATATATTTGAAAACCTTTATCTGTACCTTTTTTTAAAGAGTTCCATCAATAAAATTATTTTCACCAGCCTTTGTAGTCATCAATTACCTTGAAAGTTTAAATATCACAATTTTGTATTCTTTTCAAAAAATAGTGTTATATTATTAACTACAAAATAAGTATGTAGACTGTATTATTATTGTAACTACAATTTTGTTTTCCGCCATTAAGAAATTGGAACATGTATGTAAAAATCTACTTCAAATTTTTTTTGGCGTGTCTCGTATGTCACACTGATGAAAAATACGCATAATCTTTGCATACTAACAGGACATGGTTTGCTTTAAAAATATTTCTCAATAATATTTATAGAGAATAAAATAAGAATAAATCATACCTATTTTATAATTCAAAATTAATTTATAGTCTATTATTTGAAATCATAATTTATAGATGTAGATCTCGAATTTATAAATGAGAATACTCCAAAAATCATAAAGAAGATAGAGATGAACTAGACAAAAAAGAGAAGAAAGTGGGATACATAACAAAAAGAGAGTTTTTATATAAGTTTATTTTGTTAACATATGAGTTAATATAAATTATCATTATTTGTTATAATGATTATTACATCGATATTCTTATTACATATATTAATGTATTTATACTATCTATTCATAATAATTTCTCACCAACCCGAGACAATGCAAGTGAACCCCTCTCTCTCTTATATATATATATATATATATATATATATATATATATATATATATATATATATATATATATATATATATCATAATTTGACTAATATATATTATCATTTAATCATTAATTATAAGATAATTTCTTTTACAAAAGTTGTCTTTAGAATTTTTTTAATTATTTGATAATTAAAAAGTTTTACAGTTATAAAATATTAAAAGTAAATCCCAAAAAAAATATTTGATTGGAATTCATCATCATAATATAGAGTTTTGTCATGTTAATCAATAAAAAATATTTTTGTGGAGTAATATTTTTTTTTTCAGTTATGTTTTTTCAGTGATGAATTTCATTGTAAACTTTTCTTAAAAATACTAAATCCAGTTTCATTTGTTATTAGTGGCATATATGATTACTCTATAAAAAATAAAAATAATATATATGAGTATATTTATTACGGCAATGAAACAGTCCTCATCAGAAGAGAACAAAACAAAAATCTGAAAAGTAATTCCATGGCATCCATGTATTCTCCCCAAGTGATTATGACGATGTTGTCGCATATATTACTATTATTAGTCTATCTAGAGAGAGTGTGGAAAGGAAAAAATAGAAAGAGAGAGAAAGGTCAAAGTTTGGCAACACACAAGACACTACATATATATTGGCATAACTAGGCATAATCATTTCGTATGAGCAAGCAAAACAACATATATCAGAGTTCAGAAGCCTCCTCGTGATTATTTTTTTCTTTTCATTTCTTTGATTTTTTTTTTCTCTTTCGTTCTCCTTTTTGTCATTTGGCTAGCTGCATACACGCTGGAAGCAGCAACAGCACCTACCATAAGGTATTATCAGTGACATGTTCGGGAATTTGCAGGACTTCTACCCTTGTCATGTCCTTTTCTCTCGATATTTCCCCCTTTCACTATGATGATTCTGTGTTCTCTTGCTTATTTTTTTCTGTTTGCTTAGGGAGAAAAGCTGCATGCATGGCATGCCTTTTTTTTTTTTTTTAATCCTGTGTTGTTGTTATATACGAAGTGAAGGAGATTCAAGTTGTGTGGAGCACTAATAGCAATAGTTTTTTGAAGACCCTTTTGATTTCAAAAGTGGAAAGTGAAGGTCTTTGAAGAGGAGGAAAAATGGGTAGTTGTGGAAGGGAAGGTGTCGTGAGACAGTATATAAGATCAAAAGTCCCTCGTTTAAGATGGACCCCTGAACTGCATCGTTGCTTTGTTTATGCCATTGAGACTCTTGGAGGTCATCACAGTAAGTACATTGTTTTCTCCCAACCAAAATTTTTCTATGCTTTTGTTCATTGGTTTTTTATTTTTCTTAGATCCCATAAACAAAAGGACAAAACTTAGATACAGTATTATGTATTTGTTAATGTTAATTTTTAATCAGAATTGAAGTTAGGAAAATAAACGAAATGAAAGAAAGAGTAAGTGTATGTCGACTAATTTTCTTGATTATTCTTCGTTTGTTTTTTATATTTCTTATGAACGATTTAACTATATTTCTGCATTTTTTTCTATTCTTATGTGTAGAGGCTACTCCCAAACTTGTTCTTCAATTGATGGATGTTAAAGGGCTCTCAATTTCACATGTCAAGAGTCATCTGCAGGTTGGTTTTCATCTGCTTAATACAAAATTGGCAAATACATACACTCTCCTGGGTCAAAGCACCCATGTGTTGAACCCTCACAAGTCTTTTTATTTGGGATTTTTCTCTTTTTCATAAAAACCAGATGTACAGAAGCATGAAAGGTGATTCCTGCAGACAAGGTACCAAACGTTGTTCATTTGACCTTCTTTACTGCAAAACTCTTCAATACTTTCTCCTACCCTCATCTGCCTATGATCTGTGTTCATAAAGTCATATTTATCTACAAATTTGGATATTATTATAATAAGAAGCTACATTCGGAGGAAGAGAACATAAGGTTTTATATATGTAATATATATATATATCAATATCAATATCTGCATGATACATTCTTTCATAAAATATTATATTACCTTATATTCTGCACATTTTATATATTTTATCATCATATTTGTTTTGGTGATTCAAATTTATGAAGTCATAACAGGTTGAAAATAGGACTTATACCAATTGAAAAATAAGGCCTGCATATTTAGTTAAACTAAAATAAAATTTTATAGTCTCAATAATAGATTATACATTTTGAGAATGATAGAAAGTGTCTCCACAACATTCTCTTTCATAGGCCCCCATCGCTTCCCTTCTATGGTTAACAGAGAAAACTGATCAATTTTTGTTTTGGTAGAGTGTGAAAAACAAAACTTTTTACTATAATAGGAAGTGGAGGAATAGGATATAATATAAGGTGTGTAAATTTACTCAAACTCAGTCATTTTTTTTTTGTTAAACTTCATTTTAAAATAAAACATTTAATAACACTCATTACAAGTTCTCTTATTTATTTTTTTATATCTTCTTCATAATAAAAAGAAGTATAGCGATAGAGTGTAAACATATTTCGAGTTTTCTATGCATCATAATATAAGTGATCTTATTATTTAACTAGGATCGATTATCTTCCCCTCTTTTTTGAATCTTTTTATATACAAATGAACTAGCTAATAAATATTTTTAGAAGTTATTTGTTTTAAATGATACATCCTTTTTAGTGACCAAATTGAAACAATGTTACATTTTTTTTAAAATTTTAATGAAAATAAAGAGAGTTAAACTAAAATAAATATAGTCAATAAGTGTCTTGGTTTTAGCATTTATTGGTCAACAGGATTAATATTGATGAGCATGTGGTACATTGAATGATGTATATGCTTTCTGCATTGAAAGCATAGACTCACTGGATGGATCTTTGTTTCCCTTATTGGTTACTAGTAGTGGTTCAAAATCAGATTCAAAAGCCAGAGTTGATGCATGAGTTTAGGAAAATCGCAACTGCTGCTCATTTAGTAGTCCTTTCGTGTCTATAGTTGATGCCAGAATAGACAATGGAGAATGATGAACCATTGTGCTTTTACCATCTTCTTATAGTGGTATTTTTATGAAACCCACAACCTTTCTGCTTTCAACATTTACAATGCCTTCATTAATAACCTTTGTACAAATTCAACCCCGCCTATTGGTTTACCCAAAAATAAAGTTTTCATTTCTTTTTACAATCATATTATTATATTTTATTCACCAACCTTGTTTATAACATTTTTTTTAACTTATAACTACAATCTTTAATAGTAACAGTTTGTTTAGTTTTAAATAAATAAATAGAAGAAATAAGTTGAAAAAAAATATTAATATTAATTGTTTGATAGATATTATATAGGTGAGCAATAAATAGAATATTTTTAAAATTGTATAATTTGAATAACTTGGTAAGAGACAAACTTTTTGGACATGATAAATTATACCTTCCTTTTTCTACAAAATAATCCAAACATAATTATGCAAATGTTAAAAAGTGTCAACTTTTTCACTAAAAGTTATTCTACTTTTAATTTACACCATCATGTGTGTTGCTGTGACAGACAGGACTTCCACCCAACATAGAAAACAATGTGATGATGGTTATCGCTCTTGCTTCAAATCTATTGGAAAAGAATCCGATTCTTTTCCTACCTCCACTCATTTTTCTCAAAAAAGGTCAGCATAACTTTATTTTCTTTAGGGTAATAATACTATTTTTTAAATAATAAATCTCATTATTTAGAAAGTATACTAAAAATATTTATAATTAGTCAAGAATATATATAACTTTTACAGTACATATCTATTATAAAATTATGGTTTTTCTTTACATGTTGAAATTATTTCAAACTTTTCAAAGGACTAATAAGTGGTACAATATATAAAAGTAACAAACCAAAAGTGACTGATCTTTGGTTCATCTCTGGCTTTTCTAAGACAACTTTTACTTTTAAACAAGAAAATCCTGAATTATGGTTTGGATTCTCCTCAGAGCTAGATTCGAGAGGACAAGTTTACTTTCAGGATTTCTACAATGCAGCCAAAGAGTATGTGAAGCAGTCCCAAATCCATACACTACTTTTCATGATCACCTTCAGAGGATGGCTGAGCAGAAGGGAATAAAGAAGATTTGTGCTGGTTCAATATGGCACACTCAACCCCTTTCCACAACCTTTCTTCCCATGCTACCAAACCAAGAATCAGATTTGCTCCCGGTACTCTTCTCATGGAGACAATCCATCTATCTTTTTGTACTTCATTTGTCCTCCTCCTGCTACATGTATATATACATACATATATATATATATATATATATATATATATATATATATATTATTGGGGTTGAAGTGGAGTGTGATATTGGTTATGGACCATCAAAACTTTTCACTCTCAGTAAAAATGAGTGTTTCCTCTTTCCCTTCTGAAAAATATCTCCTTCAGAGATAATCATGTTCAACGACTTCATACTAAATGCTGTGGACAATTAATCCCTTCTGCATGATCCAACTTATGTGCTTTGTTCTCTTAATATTACCTTCTTTGTGCATAGAATATGTATATAACAATAACATGTTGGATCAATTGGTTTATAAAGTCCAAGTGAAGAAGTACTTTTTGGAAACTGAAAAGAAAATGGCCTTGTCACTTTCTGATGGGTGTTATATTCTCTTTTGACAATGTTGGACAGGTTGCGAAATTAAATGATAAAGAGGGTCTGGATGAAGTTGGGAAGACTTGGAGGCTAGAAGCAGAGGATGAAGACAGGGGAGGCTGTGAGTTGTCGTTGTCCATCTCATTGCCACAGCCACATCCTTCTTCTCAGAAAAGTAATGCTTCTTCAGTAAGCGAGACCAGTGAGGTCTTTTCAATATTCCCTGAGTTTAGCCTCAACAACTACATGCCTTGTTCTACCTCTTCTAATCTTCCAAACACAATTAATTTGGACCTATCTTTGGCCATTTAAATGTCACCTTCATTTTACAAAACGTGTGTTTTTGTGAGATAATGCAATTCTCCACGCTAAACTTTCTACTTACCTGCATTACTATTTTAAAATTTGGATTGATTTTTTCAACATATCCATCTTCTAAAATGTAAGGTGAAATGCAAGTTCAAATATATGTTTCACTCCATTTGTTTTTAAATTTTAAATGGTAGACTTAGCAAGAATATGAAGATAAGTAATATACAAGTTAAAGGGAAAAAGACGTTGGTTCTATATTAATAATTTATGTGCAAGGTGAAACTTAATTAAAAATTTGAAATTATTTTCTTACAATGACAATAATTAACTAAGTTTAGGAACTAAAATAAAAACAATGATGTAATTTAACTTATAAATATTAATTTTAACAAAAATATGTAAGATTGTGAATTAAGTTCTGACCAATTACATTATTAAACACCTTTACTTAAACTTTCATATTTTTGAAGACTTTGTTACAACAAATTTTGTAGAATAACTATTTATCTTAGTTTTATGAATTTTCAATGATATCGATTAATTAGAAAAAAAAATCAAAAAAATCAATTTCGATTTCTAGTCTATATATATTTAATTTAAATAAAATCAATTAAATATGATGAATTTGATTAAAATCATATATATATATATATATATATATATATATATATATAATTTTAAATTATTAATTATTATACACAGAATTTATAATATAATTTTTTAAATTTATTTTATATATATAAAAGGAGAGAAAAATGAATGTTTAGTAGTTTTTTTTCTACATAACGTGAAATCAGATTAAGTTTATCAAAACTCTATTTTTTTATTGAATATTCAGTTAAAAAAAAAAGAAATTGTAACATATTAAATAAATAAAATTAACTAATTTATAATTTATTTTATTTTTTAAAATAATATCACCTCCAATTAATTTTTTATTATTAGTCACGAGAGAATCAACTTAATAAAATTGGGTAGAAGTCATGTCCAATAAATTTAATTGTTTTTTATTATGTTTATTACTTACAGAGAGTTTCACAGTATTATTTTGCATTCTTATGAATTATAGTTTCTATAATATCATACTAAATAATTTTTTCCAAAAACATATGCTTATTTTTGTAATTGATAATTAAAAGAAAAAAATTCTTTTGTTCTATTATAAGTCATAGTCAACTTCCTTTCTGAGAAATCATAATTAAAAAATAAATAAAGACATGAACGTGATTCTTATTAAATTTTTATAAGTTCTAATCTATAATTTTTATAAATATTTTATATTTATAATTCTTTATTTATATTTTATTTAATAGTTTTAAAATAATTTAATTATTATAATAAAATATATTTTAATGTAATATTTTTATTTGAAATGATATAATGTTTAAAAAGTCTAAATATTTTATAAAAGTTATTTTCTTAAAAAATTATAAAATTAAAATTTAAAACTAAACTAAAAATTAAAAAATATTTCAATAAATATTATATATTATTATTATTTTTTTAAAATAAAATACAATATATAATTTTTTATTTTTATTTAAAATTAAAGTTAAAGAATTTTTAAATTTATGTATAAATATAATTTAAATATTTATTATTAAAATAATTAAGAATATATAAATAAAAGATTTTGTAAATGATAACAGAAAGAATCCATCTTGGAAACATCTATATTTTTTAATTGTTACAAATATTTAAAAAATGATCATATATAAAAAGAATTACATATAAAATACATATATTTTTTATATGGCTGATAATGGATATACTCTTGGAAATATAAAACAAAAAATAATAATATTCAATATATATTTTTGAAATAACAGGATAATTTTTTATTTTAATTTTTTACCTACAGTTGTATAAAGTGAATGCTGATTTATTTAATTTGACAAAGCTTCTCCTCTCTCTTTTCCTTACCATCACCCCACTAAACAAAAACACTAAACGCCACTACTCATGCCACTCACTTCATATTAATATTTTAAATAGAATTAGTTTTAAATAAATTCTTTTTGCTCTGTGACAATTGTCCATAGAAATGACCTCTCCACCGTCACCTAATGTCCCGAGCCACACTTCCTCCCAACCGGCGACGATTTCCAGCAACGTCTCACCGCCACGCTACTAGTGACTTTTCCGCCCTCATGTTGCCGGAATCCACCCATCTTCTCCGGCGGAGAATAGTCGCTGCACTTCTCTTCATCTTCTTCTCTTTCTCCTGCCTACTCCTATTCAGAACTGATAACTCTCGCTTCCCCTCTTCCAATTCCTTGGCTGGACAATCCACTGTTTTTCTGTCTAAAGATTCCGACGTGGTGAGTACCTTTTCGTCTCTTTCTCTCTTCCTTTCTCTCAATATTCCGATATTATCGTGATTTGGGAAGTGTTCATGTGTTTAACTATGATCAAGGTTTTAAACTGCCGTTACAGTTCTATCACGATTCTTATTGCAGACAACAACAAAAAATCTTGAGGTCGTGACCAATATGGTGGTTAAAATCTAGGATATGATTTTAATGACGTCCTTGCAATCCCATTGTAATTTTCTGCTATGTTAATGATCTCGACTAAGATGTGACCGAGATAGCAACTTAAAACCTTGTCTCTGAGCTGAAATTTATCTTGTTAAATTGGATTAAGGGACATTTTTTTTTTGTCTCATTAGTAAATAATGTATATTGTGAATGGAATTCAGTGCTTGAAAAATGCTGTGTCTACTATCTTCTTTGTTAGTTTGGTTGTTCACTTGAGACAGATTGATGTGTTGACGGAAGAGAATTGGAAGAGGGTGAAATCATGTTGAATTTCATTTATTATTGATACATTTTCTTGAAGTAGTTGAAGGTGGAGGATGGAAACAAAATTTGGAACACAATCAAATGTGCATAGTTAGGTGAATGGATATACCAGCTCTTGTTAAAATTTGTTATCCTCTTGTTTTAAACTAGAGGAATTCCTAATTTTGGCCTTCCAAAGCTAAATGTGTTAACGCAGTGGTCTCCTATAAATTTTGGCAGTCAAATTAACTATTCAAAGAATTTTCGTTTTAACTTTAGTTCTATATATATATATATATATATTTTACTATTTATTTCTTTCATAAAGATGAATATGGTAACCTTTTAAATATTTGAATGATTAATTTGATAACTGGTTAGATCTCAAGACTAATTTGACAACAAAATTAAAGACAGATGCTGCTTAGAAAATTATTAATATCTTCATTGGAGTCAAGGAAGGTCCATATTTTTAACAATTAGTTTAACTACTGTTAGATACATGAGTTCCAAGAGTGTGAATTTCCAATATTGAGTTCTAGTAGCATACATTAATTGTTGGTTTAACTATTTTCCCAAATACTTTTACATCCGATTTGCATCTCCACCACTCTAGTTGATCTATCAAACAAGAACCAATTGATGCCTCTTCATTTCTTAAATTATGATGGAATACTGCTATAATTTGCTGGATCTTTAAAAATATGATAGGCATAGCCTAAATTGGAAGATTTTAATATTATTGTGGTTTGGTTTGTGTAATTTATTTAAGAGATATTCACGTTCTTTGTTCTTTCTCAAATAATTCTTTTGCAGATAAGCAATGAGTATTCACTTGAAAATGTTCTGAATAAGGCTGCTATGGAAGACAAAACTGTTATCTTGACTACATTAAATGAAGCATGGGCAGCACCAAATTCAATCATTGATCTATTCCTTGAGAGCTTTAGAATTGGAGATCGTACTCGTTGGCTTTTGAATCATTTAATAATTGTTGCACTGGACCAGAAAGCATTTATACGTTGTCAGGCAAGGCACACCTATTGCTATTTGCTTGCCACTGACGCCATTGATTTTCATGAAGAGGCATACTTCATGACTCCTCATTACTTGAAGATGATGTGGAAACGGATTGATTTCCTGCGTTCTGTTCTAGAGTTGGGGTACAATTTTGTGTTCACAGTAAGTATTTATTTAATCACTGACTTTTTCAAGTTTACCTGGACTGACTTGTGTAATCCTTGAGATCATGGAAACACTTTTGCGGGCTCTGAAGTTTGCAAATAATTTAAATGTGTTATTTTATTATATGCTGTTGGTTAGGATAATCTGTATCAGCAAACTGTATTATTTTCCAGCTATGCATTTTTTAGTTTGCTTTTATTTATTTCCTTTCAGAGAAGAGATTCTTTTTTGGAGAGAAAGATTGAAATCTAAGATATCTACATTTGATACTTATGCCCTCTACCAGGATGCTGATATCATGTGGTTTAGAGACCCATTTCCTCGGTTTCACAAGGATGCAGATTTCCAGATAGCATGTGATCATTTCACAGGGAGCTTTGATGATGTACAGAACAGACCCAATGGAGGGTTCAACTTTGTGAAGTCCAATAATAGGTCAATTGAGTTTTACAAGTTCTGGTATTCTTCACAAGAAACCTACCCCGGATACCATGATCAGGATGTCCTCAATTTTATCAAGGTTGACCCTTTCATTAGTGATTTAGGACTGAAGATAAAATTCTTGGATACAGCTAATTTTGGTGGGCTTTGTGAACCAAGTAAAGATTTAAATAAAGTTTGCACGATGCATGCAAATTGTTGCTACGGTATGAATACTAAACTAAATGATATTAGAATCATGCTTCAAGATTGGAAATATTATTTGACCTTAGCTCCAAGTTTGAAGAGGATGTCAATTATTTCCTGGAGGGTCCCTCAGAAATGCAGGTAGACCACGCTGTCAAGCTTTCTCATTCAATATTTTGATTTTGTTCTTTATTAATCGTTCTTGTTTCTTTTGATACATTTTAGTTACCGTTAGTATCTTCTGTTTTGTCCTTTTCCTTTCGTTAATGGGTTCTTTCTTTTCAGCCTTGATTCTCTGAAGCATCCTGGTTCACCAGAAAAGAGTGTTCAAGAGAATTGAAATTCTCATTCTTATTGATGCGGAAGTTCAGCTGTAATGCTGCTGGACGAAAGGTTTGATTTTCCTTTTAGTTAGGTCTGCTACACTAATCAACCAGAATTGTACTCTGGCATATACTAATTTTAAGAGAAAAATTAATTTTGCTAAACCAAGTGCTGAAGAATTATCGTAACATTCAAAATCAAACAAGAAATCTGAGAGATATAGCATTCTGTTCTATCCATTGAATTTTCGTTGTGCTTTACTCAATTTTTTGTAACGTTATGTCGTATTATTCTTGATTCTCTTTCCAGTGTCAACTCTACATCTTGTTTTCCCTGATGCAACACAGAACACGGTAAATTTAAAAATTCAAGCATTACATACTACTTACCCGACACATGTTTCATTCCTTTGTAGTAATTAGGTTTATAATAAAGTATTTTGTATGCTTAAGGGATTGTTCGCACGATTGGGCAATTTTATGCGTTCAACTAATCCAACCAAATCGATTGTAAAGGAAAATTATCTTGTGCATCGTTCTGTTTGTCAATTACACCACTATTTAAATATTTTTGTAACTTTTATTTCAAAAGTACCCGTGTGAGTAACACCTTGTTTGAATCCTCAGAAGAACACATTTTCAATATCTTCCATTACATCCCAAAAGTGATTGAATTTTTTTTTTTTTTAAATTAAAGTTCTGAACATATTCATAGCTACATTTTTCTATGAATATAAAATTTAACAAGTATACCGCTTTTTTTTTATAACATTGTTAAGGGCACAAACTTATCATATACGACATTTGAAGTTGAATGATAATATAAAATTACTTAACACTAGTCTATAACCTAGTTTTTGTTTTTAATCAGTTAATCCTATGTAAATATTTTTAGTTAATGTTAATGGTCTATCAAAATTAGAATAAATCCTATGAATAAAGTATTTTATAAGAAAAATTATTCATAGAATCTCTATTAATAATATATTTTAAAAGAAAAGTTATTTAAATAGAATTTTTATTAATTTATTTATTGAAGTAAATCTGTGTATTCTTCATATAATTTTTTTTCTCAATCAGTCCTTTTTTTTTCTTTTTTTCTTCCGTCTCTTAATTTTCGTTTTTTCCTCAAACTTAGTGTCATATTAAAACTTATTGAAAATATGTTAAAATGAATATTTTAAAATAAATTTAAAAAATATTAACTAATTATTTAAAATTTAATCTTAATAAATAATTATTCATCTAATTAAAAAATATTAAATATATATAAGTTAAATATATTTTTATTTTATAATTTAATTTAGATTGAATTATGATAATTATTTAAATTAGATCATTTTTAAAAATTATTTTAAAATAAGTATTTGATTTTTTTAAAAATAATTATAACAATAAAGTTTAACATTTTAAATTTATAATATAATATTTTTAATAATATAATATTAAATTATAGTATTTTTAATCATTTAAATATTTTTATTTTTTAGTAATTATAAATATTTACTTTATCAAAATTTAATATATTGTTTTTAATTGAAGAATAAAACGGAGTGAGAGAGTTTTTTTTTAAGTCAATACAAAAGATAAATAAATTTTAAAAAATATTTAAATAATTTTTTTTAAAATATATTATTTATGAGAATCATTAATCTAAATTAAACTCGCAGTCATAATACTCTTTTGAAATTAATTCTTGAATGTTTTATGAGCCACCTTGTCTCGTATCTTCTCCCAAATTAGTCCAAATTAATAAATTTAATTTTTTTCTTTTCACCCGATTTAATACAAATATTAACTACTACACAAAATACATTATAACTATTCTCTGTTAGTAATTTTTTTTAATGTTTCCTTTTTTCATCAAAACTATAAATTAATTAAATAATATGTTAGTAATTTCTCTTATGCTTCGTCAGTAATATTTTTATCCTTCACTATTTTCTAAAATGAGTTACTAATTTTATATATTTATATTTTTCATACATGGACTGGTGAATTCTTTTAAGGTTATATAAATTAGTGTATTCTGATTTTGTGTGCATCAATATATTATAGGACAGTAAGAATGACAATTTTTGGGAAACACAAGTCATTAATCCTTACATTTTCGGCATTGCGAATTTATACCGAATCTTAATTAATTTAGGCCTAAATGAGTCAATTTAATTAAGAGTTTTCTTTTTAATAAAAAAATTCCAGTCGGATAATTTATTTAAGAAAAAAAAAGATTATTTGGAATACACCTTTTAGACACACTTTTTTTTATTACATTCTTTTTGCTTAGTGAAAAATTATTAAAAACTACCTTACAAATTGAGATTAGTCCCACATTTTGTTGGGTAAAAAACAAATCTATTTAAGGCCTGAAATATCTTAATATATGTTTTTCTATACATACAAATTTAAGGATTAAATATTTAATCACAAAGAACATAATTATAATTATCTATCTATATATATATATATATATATATATATTTTACCAAAATATAATTATCTATCTGCCATACTATAAAATATTAGTTGTTTAACCACTACATGAAGAGTTTTTTATACTCTGACAAATTCTTTATTTAGTTTTGGTAGTCTCAGCTTCAAATCAATATTTTGTTATTGAATTTCCCAGAAACAAGGAGAATTTATCGAAGAGAAAAAAATTGTCCTGTTTTGAAATTCAAAGCAATCGATAAAATCAAACAGAAAAGAAGAGAAAGGAGTTATTGTTTGAAATCCAACACGCTTTCTTATTCAGAAGATTACTCAATTAAACAATTCCTAAACTATATTAAATTATTACATATAAGTCAAGTAAGCATCATATTCGTTGCTTCACTTTCACTTTTACACTCCATCCATCATATTGCTTTTGGAGGTAAATAAATATATTAAACTGTTTAGGTTTAAGTATCCCATTATTTCTTTAATTTTCTTAAAAAATAATATTTATATTAAGTACTTGGATATTTTAAACTTTAAATTTATATAATTTAATATAATATAATGACAATAACCTCATAATTCAAAATATTAATTAGTATAATAAATTTTAATAATGTTAAAGTTTTAAAATTTACTTAATTCAATTTAAAAAATAATAAAAATAATTGATAAGATGAATATTATTCTAATTTATATATTTTAATTTGATTATATTATTAAGAGATGAGATTAGATAAAACACTTTTATTTTTAAATGAAATATTTACGTTCAATAAAAATACGAGTCTTAATTCTCTCTTGTGACTGAACTTATGGAGAAGTGAGTGGACTATCACTCTTCCTTCTTAAAATTTTGTAATTTATACATATATTTGTGATTTTTGTTATAAAATTATAAGTATTACATCAATTAAGAACAATAACAAAGTTGGTTAGATGTAAAAAAGAGGGTAACTTTATTATTTTTTTTAACTACTTTTGTATTTATATTTTTTCCCCAAATTTAATATATATGATATTTGATTTTCAAAAATTATTGATAAAGATTTGTCACTCTTTAAAAGTTAAAATTAATAATAATTTATATTTTTTTATCTAAACTATTATTAAAATATGTTTAAAATAAATGAATTCTAATAATATTATGATATGGAAGAATTCTACTATGTAATAGAAACAGTAATTAATTATAGGAATATTATAAAATAAATGATGTAAAGTTAATGTAATAGTATTATAATTGAAAAAATTGTAACTGGTGGGATAAAGGAAGAGGAATCTAGGTTGAAGTATCTACATTATCATTGCTCTTCTCCTCTGCATCTTCTTGCCTTTACCAAACCATTTAATTATGAATTTTCTTAATGAGCAAATAAAGTAGCAAGCATTTTGTTTCCACAATTCAAACGTTTAAAATATCCAACGTTCAATGATTAATCTGGAAGAACAAACACAGGGATGAGTTAGGAACGAATTTTCTTTCCCCCAATCACATATTATGCGTAGGGTTAAGTGTCATTAACTATATATAACAAAAAGTGGCAACATAGCAAAACTTTTGAACATAAAAAATGGTGCTAAAAGTCTTAAAGATGAAAGATGAAAGATAGGAATACCGAATACGTATCTCAAAATTTTCCCACTTTTTGCTCTCTGCCTTGTGGATTTCTCGAAGCCAAAGTCGGATAAAGCAAATTAATGTACGAATAATATAAATGGGAATCACTTGCAACACACAAACAAATAATAGTTGGGAATCACTTTCAATGACACTTAGTCAAGTGTGATTGAAAGGGGCATCTAATAATTCATCAAATACATGGATTACAACTCACAAAACTTACTATATAAAATCGTATTATGGGGATGCAAATTAATCCACATTGCTTAATTACATGATTCACAAAAATTCAGTTTACCACCTAATTTTATCTTCAAATCAAATGACCCATTCAATTGTTCCAAAGAAAACCTTGACTTTGGTGGCAGGGTATCAATTTTTTTTTCATCTAACTTCAACAACTTCGCAGAAATCTCAATCTATTGGCCCCATTTCGAATCAAAACCATATGTTGGGCCCTGAATTATTCCACTGCTGCCTTCCTAAGAAACACACACATAAATATGTATATTAAATTCAATATTTTTTTTATCAGATAATAACCTAATTAAAAACGAGTTAATAAATTCAATCCATCGAAAATCATTACAGATATGATTTTTATATTGTTAAAACTAACAAATATCGGTGTATGAATTATTTTATCATTAAAAATTTGAGTTAACAAATTGTTCTTATATAGAGAGCTACTTAAAGGTGTTTATCATGTTTTAAAGATAATGGGTGTTATCGTTTAAGGATCATGCACAAATAATAAGAGATATTTGTATGGTTTTCAAAACAAAATAAAACATTATTATTTCTTGAAAAATTGGTTTAAAATGTGGAAAGATGCACATATTCTTTTATTTTTGTTGAATGATTGAGATGATTGGTTCATCCAATGTCAAAAAGTAGATTTTAGTATGCGCGTTTTTGGATTGGAAAGGAAACCTATTTATCAAATAAAAACTCTTACTTTGATATCACACATATTTAAGTATAAGAGTAATTTATTCATATGTATATAGATGTAATTAGTTTGTTTATGTAATTTGAAATCTTATCTCTTAAATATAAACCTTTTGAATAAACTTATTTGAATATAAATAAAACTTAACTATTTTTATCCTATTTAATAATAATATCATCTCAAATGGAATATAAAATAACTTGTCATCCTGAAGAACCAAATTATGTAACTATTTTTCGTAATTAAGAGTTGAATTATCCATCATAGGGAGTGTTTTTTGTGTGAAAACGAAAAACAAAGTGAAAGAGAGCAGACATGATAGTTTAACAGATAAGCATTGGACGGGTCCATAAGAGGAGATGTTACAAGGAAGCACAAGGTGGCAGAAGCACCAAGCATCATGCATAAACAAAAAGGTTAAGAGTACTTCCATGAACACATTCATGTCTAACACACATGCAAGATGCTTTGATGCATGGCATCTTCTTATTTTCAACAATTAGGTCTTTAATTTTCCAAAGATATGAACAGTGCAATCAACTTTTTGCACCCAAATTTATATATATATTCTCCACAAGGTGTGGCCATTTGTCCTGCACCACTCACTCATCATTGGAAGAGAGAGGTTTAATCCATATATATGATGATGAAGAGTCTAAGGCAAGTGAAGAAAAGCAAAAGCTATAGGCTTGAAAAGTGTTCACCAACAATGGAACACCACCAATTCACAGCTCCTGGTGAGCAATATTCCACAAGCTTTGTGAGCAAAAAGTCTCCTCCTCCACCTGTGGAGTTCCCAACCTCTCCGCAGCTGATATTTGGGGAGGAGATTCTTCACTTCAGCCACCCTCAGCACCCTCTCTCAATGGTGGATCTCCCAGACCTGTTCAACTGTGTAGGCTGCAAGGAATATGGCTCTGGAAAGAGGTTTGTTTGCCAACAATGTGATTTTCAGATGCATGACTTCTGTGCTTTGGCTCCTCCTGCTCTCAAGGCACACCCCTTCCACTCCCAACACTCTCTCTTGTTCCACTCCAAACCAGGTACTTCATCTCCCTATTTCTCACATCATCTTCACTGTTTCATTTGTCATAACATTATGTGGTAAGTTATCAATCAGATTATGTGTATTCACGTTAATCATGGTATTGTATCTATATGTATATATATATATATAGTAAAAAATTATAAATTTTAAAACTACTTGTAAACATTGATTTGTGGGGAACATGTTTCAGGGAAAAGCGGAATGGGAGGGAAATCCAAATGCGACGTCTGTGGGAAGCCGACGAAGGGCTTCGCCTTCCTCTGCACGGCCTGCGCCTTCCAGATGCATCCCTGCTGCGCCATGCTCAACACAGAGATCGACTTCCCGACGCATCCCCACCCTCTCAAGATCATCCCAACAACCTCCTACGCCGCCCCGGACTCCGCCTCCTTCCTGTGCGCCGAGTGCAAGAAGCGCAGGTCCGGCAAGGTCTACCGCTGCACCGTCTGCGACTACCACCTCCACGCCGCCTGCGCCAAGTCCAAGATCAACGGCCTCCTCGCTAACGGCATCAAGCCGCCGCAGAAATCCAGCGTCCTCGCCGCCGCCGCTCGTGTGGCCTCCCAGGTCGTTATTGAGTTCATCGGGGGACTCGTTGAGGGCATCGGAGAAAGCGTTGGGGATGCGCTTGTGCAGAACATTACCAAGGGCAACAACACTGCTTCCCCCGCTAATGCTAGCCCCAAACCACGTTACAAATAATCCTTTTCACTCCAAACTAAAAGTTAGTATCTTTTCTCTTCCCCACACTTTCATTCTTGTTTTTCTAAATTTATGTGAATTCTATAAGGGTTGTTTTAACCACAACAAGCTTCACCATGATAATAATAGGCGTAATAGAATATTTTGTTTTTACGTAAACAAAATTAAAGAAAAAAAAATTATTGTATATGTAACATCAACTTTTGGTTTTTATCTTTGACTATTAAAATCTTCATTTTCTTCCTTTACATATTTTGTAGAAGGAGAGCGATGAAAGTTTGGTTTTTTACAGAATAAAGGAAGTGTTGATTTTATAAGTCAAGGAAAAAATATAAATATTGCGAAATTTGTTGGAATGAAGAATATTACCACTTCAAAAATGAGTCACGTATCTTCTGAAACCTTGGTTAACACTATTTGAATAAGAGAAGTGGATAATTTTCTTGTATATTGTGTTCTAATGACATTGCTCTTGTATATTGTTTCAGGGATGAATCTTTTTCAAGTTTCCTCTGCCACGTTTGGGAAAGAAATAGGCACACCAGAAAATATTTGTTATATATATTTGTTTTTCTGGACTGTGTCTCCCTCCTAAATGTAAAAGTGGAAAAGAGAGAATCAAATCCTAATTACTCCTCCGTGGCAACACTCTTGTGAGGTGAATCTCTGGTGGTGTTAGGTCCATTCAACGTAGACTATAATTTGCCTATAGCAAAAAATAATTGTATAGCATTGATGCAAGTAGCGGTTTATATGGTTGATGCTGTGTATATTTTGTTGTTGGTTCGAGGAGGGGAGTTGTAAAAGGTGGCTGGGGTAATGTTTCATATTTATTTTAGTTTTTTCTTTTTCTGGATATTCAAGTGTTTGTAACATATGTGTGTAAATTGTAAGATTTCATAAATAAATTTTGCATCACTTGCATTTTTATTATATATTTATTCATTTAATAACTTCTTTTTATACATTTTTCAAAGAGTAACCAAGAGTTATTATTGTTAACACTTTTTTTATAAAGGAAAAATCATTACACAAATGCTTCACCTAATAAATAGGTTTTCGTAACCCTATCACCAGAAATTATTTAATCAATACATAAGAACAGAGTTTATACTAATAATAAATCTTTGCAAAACATAATAATAAAGTTGTGTCTTTTTCTTTCTTGTAAAGAGCACATGTCCTTGAACCATTGTGTGGTTGGATTCCCCTTTTCTGAAAATAAACCTTCCATGGAAATCTGTCTTGAAATACCTTCCATGCAAGTGTTGTCACTTTCATTGCAGTCAGTTGCATCTGACCAACATTCTTAAATCCACTATCCCTGTGTAGAATTTATACAGTAAACTAACTCTTATATAGCATGTGTTGTCCATGCTCTCTTATGTCAGTTTCTTGATTGTGTGTTGAAAAGAAGTAAAACTCCCTTTTGTTATTTCTACACTTTAAAGAATCAGTCCCATGTTTTTCAAATATGGAATTTTTAGCAAAAATGAAAATGTTAATCATTTAGCTCCCACTAAGATGTTAATCTAAGTTTTGTATTTTACCATTTTATTTTTCATTCAAGCAATTATAAGTGGTTCGTTATGTGAATTACATAACTTAAAATTGTGTTACAATTAGATAAATATCTTTTTATGTCACATCTCTAAATAAATCGGTTATTAAGTTAATTGATTTAATAGGTTTCATCTTGGATTTTTTTTTCTTCCCTCATAAAACGAAACTTTTTCTTTTGTAACCAACAACTAAAAAAAAAAGTTACAAATAAAAAACTAAAAAAATATATATTTTTTATACCGTTATTAACAAGAGATTATGTGAAGATGGAAACTTAGTAACGAGTTTCCTTAACAACAATAACTTTTTACAAATGAAAAAAATGAATAAAATTATATAACTAATATTTTAATTTTAAGTGAGTTTGGTGTCTTGAGTTTTGTTTGTGTGAATCTAATATTTTATGTAATTATACAATTGTAATTTGTAGTATCTCAACCTTCATCTCTCTAAATATTTAATAGATTCTATTTTTGTGATGGTAATTGACAAATATGTCAATGATTTAATCATTCACTTGTGTTTCGTTTGGTTTCAGGTGTTTACTGTGACAACGGCGCGCAACGTGAGCATGGTACTTCCTAGACGTTGGCGAACTGATAAAAATATATAAATCACCATTTAAAACATTCAACCAAAATTGTATATGTTGTATTGAATTCCTTGATTGAACTTGCACTAGTTTCACAATGAGAGACGCCACAAATAAAAAATCTATATCCTACTAATTAAATGTGATAATTCTGCATAATGCAGAAGATAATCGTTCTGCATGATGCAGAGAAGACAACAATATGAAGTCCAATTCAGCTGATTTGGTTAGATCAAGTGTACCCGTGTGTGTATATATACAAATAGAATGTTACCTAAAAGATAAAACTATTCTAAAAGATAAACTTTTATCTCAGAAAAATAGGCAAATTAATCTTACTTGAGAGATAAAATATTTATCTAATCACTGCAAATTCTACTTGACTACATCAGTTACCAGTAGTCACCGCATGAGCAAATGCCATGCCGAAAATGATGGAACCGATTTATATCTCGGATAACAATTTCTCGCTGCACAATTTTTGATATCAACTTTATAACAGTATGGCAATCTGCACAAATCCGAAGATTTTTAATGATACGAATAGAACATGCAGGTGGAATTTGAATCAGTCCAAATGCCAGAGCTAGTCTTTCACTGTGCGCCCACAAAAGACGTTCCTTTTCATCATCCTCCACATCAAGCAAAACAACACTGCAATCAGGAACATACCCTGCATTCCTGGTTTTTTTGTTTAACCATTCAAGCATTGCAAATATTAGTTTAATTTCAGGATGAGAGGTGTCTCCCACAGTGAAATAGTGAACCACACCTTGGTTCTCAACCCAGCTTAATCCTGGTTCCTTTTTCACTTTTTTCCTTTTCATGCTTTTTCTAACAGAAGCGACGTTGTCCCATCTCCTTGCAGCGGCATACATGTTTGACAGAAGTACGTGAGTTGCATCATCATGGGGCTCCATCTCAAGTACGTGCTGTGCACAAACTTTACCCAGATCAAGATTCTTATGGATAACACAAGCACCAAGTAGTGCACGCCACAGCATAACACTAGGCTGAAATGGAATTTCTTCAATGAGGTTAACTGCTTCATCAAATTGGCCTGATCTTCCAAGAAGCCAAACCATGCAAGTATAATGTTCTATACATGGTTCAACGCCATAGTCCTGTAACATTGACCTAAAATGGGCTCGTCCTTCGTCTAACAACCCTGCATTGCTACATGCAGAAAGGACACCAACAAAAGTGAGTTTATTTGGTTTACAATTTGTCTTTTGCATCATGTCAAACAAGTTTAGAGCCTCCCTACCCAAGCCATGTATAGAATATCCACAGATTATAGCGTTCCACGAAACTTCATCTCGTTTATTCATCTTGTCAAATGTTAGCCGGGCATCATCAATTCTACCACATTTAGCATACATGTCTATCAAAGAATTTGCAACTACACTATCCTTGTTATACATGGTTTTGATAGTTAAGGAATGAATTTGACGTCCTGGTTCTAATGCCACTAAACTCGCAGAGGCACGCAGAACACTTGAGTATGTCACTTCTGTGGGCTGAATATCATATCCAAGCATGTTTGAAAATAAATTTAATGCTTTCTCCCCATCCCCTAACTGAACGTAACCAACAATTATAGTATTCCAAGTTACCTCGTTTTTCTCTTCTGATCCCATAAATAATTTCACGGAGTTTTCAATTTCACTACACTTGGCGTAAACATCCATGAGGGCATTTGACACAAACACATTTGAGTCAAGACCTACTTTCAGTACTGAAGAATGAATTTGCTTTCCCAAATTTAATGAAACCAGAGATCCACAAGCTTGCAGCACACTAGCAAAAGCAAAATTATTCGGGACAACAGATGATTGCCTCATTCGACAAAACAAATCCAAAGCCTCCATATTTTTGTCACTTTGAGCATACCGTGCTATCATGAGACTCCATGGAATAAGATCATCTTTGGGCATTTCCTCGAAAAATTGCTGGGCCTCTGCAATCTCTCCAGACTTGGCATACAATTCAAGCAGTGCAGTACCAACATACAGATCTCTATCATAACACGTTTTCAAAGCACATCCATGAACACTTTTCCCAACCTCAAATGCTTCTAGACCAAGACAAGACTTAAGTGCAGAAGAAATGGTAAAATTGTTTGGTCTATATCCCATAATCCTCATCTGGCAGAAAAGTAGCAATGCATGCTCATGGCAATAGTTCTCAGCATAGGAGGCTACCATTCCAGTCCAAGACACCAAGTCCTTACAACAAATGCTATCAAAAACTTCACGTGCGGCATCAACATTACCGCAGACAGAGTAGACACCCATTAGTGCAGTCCCAACATACGCATCGGTGTGATGACCAAGCTTATAAGCATATGCATGCACACTCCAACATGTATCAGCCAAATCCATTCTTACCAGCAACTTGAGGAGTGTCGTGAAAACAAACTCGTTCACCTCGTAACCTTCTCTGAACAACCTGTGTTAACCAATTGGATTGGAGTCAAATTTGAAGTGAAAACTCATCACATTAATTTAGTTCAGTTTTCTTAATAGTCTAATCGGTTTAGTTTAAATTTTAAATTTAATCCAACCCAATCCATAAAGCCATTTGGATTGCATATATCAGGGTTTTTTGGGTGAACCAGGGTCCATTGAGATATTAACATTCATTCAACGGGTTAACCTCCCCCAATAAATGTTTTTCTATACACACACCAGAGATTGAACCTGACTAGCCATGTTACTCCAAGCATCTCATCGTCAATAGTAGTATAACTCTAATATTTATTGTCCCGTTCAAATAATTACTAAAAAGGAACTCTATTTAAATATTTTTATAAAAAAAATATATAAATTATGAACAAAATTAAAAAATGAAAACATTAACGTTATCAAATAATAATAATAAATAAGAAAAACACCAACAAGTTATGGGTCTGAGTGGTTTTCGACTGAGATTAATGATCAACAATCAATGATAATTCCCACAAATAACATGGTTAAGAAAAATACTTGAAACCCAATGCAGTCCAAAAAAAATAGTTTTTGTTTTTTGGGCCATTGGGATCCTTTAAATTTTATTGAATTGGTTTTTGAAGGACCTAAACTGCCTAACTGGTAATTAACCAACTATCTAGCAGCTGGAATTATGAAGAGGCGTACCTGAGAAACAAGTGGAGGGCGTGATGATGTTGGCCTGAACGGGAGAAGCCATGAGCCAAGGTGACGAAAGAGGCTGTGTTAGTGAGGGGCATTTCGTCGAACAGTTTGAAGGCGTCATCGAAGGAGTGGAAATGAACGTAAGTGTTGAGAAGAACGTTTTGGGCGAAGAGGTCCAAAGGGGCGGCTCGCTTGAGAATGTGGCAGTGGAGGCTCTTTCCTGAGTTGAGGTGGCAGTTTTGGATAGCTTGTTGGAGCATGGTGGCGTAGGAATGGCAATCGAACGCATCTTGGTAATGGAAGTGAGTGGAATAGAAGCATGCAGTGATGATTTTGGTGTTGCCATATGCCGGTAGAAGCCTCAATAGCTTTGTATCATAGAGTGATCTGATCATGAGAACTCTGCAACTTCTCCTATCTTCTTCCCTCTTCACTACTCCTCACTCTCCCTTCCTTTCTTCTTCGTTTCTCGCGCCCAAACTCAACCTTTCAATTTAACACTTCTTTTTATTCCTACAAATTCACCATGAATTTTCATATTTGTTCTGCGCTTGACAATTTGAACACTTTATTCACTATTACGATTTCTTTTATTTAATTGCACATTTTATATATTCAATTATTTCCATTTTGCAAATTTTATCACTTCCCCTTTTTTTCATGTTCTATTATTTAATTTTCAATTTTCGTATATTTTGTCATCCAATTTTTATTATTTTTTTTACATATTTGTTCATTACAATTTTTAATTTTAAGTATCACATTATCAAAAAAAATTGATGAAATTTAACTGTCATTTCATATAACGCGTTAGAATTTTGACACGTCTTTAACATATCAGGAAAATAAAAACGATTTGATAAATATAAGTAAAATATGTAAATCATTTGAATCCAAGCATATTTGAAAAAGAAGTTGGTAAAGAATTTAATGTTAAAAAGAATTCAAACCCATTTTCTCAAATTTCAAGTGGGAGGTAAGTGTCACTAATGTTACTCCAGAGAAAATTTTAAATCTGTGAATTAATTAGTAGTCTCTTTGAAAATAAGTGTTTCAAAAATGCTAACATTTTTAATTAAAATATATTGCTAAGATAACTATTTTTAACATAATTTTTTAGTGAGGGGCAATATTACAAATCCTATTACAGAAAGTATATTTAAAAAAAAGTAGAACAATATGAAAATTAAAAATAATAAAAGTAAATATATGTAATTATTTTATAATATACCATTTACTGAAGGATCAACATATCAACGGAATTTTTATTCAATAACTATGTAAAAAGAAACTTTCTATCCAACATTAATTCGTGAGCACCTAGAATTTCCAGGTACTATAATATAAATATTAAATTATCAAAAAAAACATGAGATGAATAATAAAACTCTATTTCTTATTTTTAAAGTAAATAGATAATCTCTATACATAATTCAAAATAATTAAATATAACAAATCTCATTTTATGTCTCTGTGAATAATCTGATGTCATTTGACAGAGACATCTTTTTGGATTAAAAGGTAACCAGAAAATGTATCTTTCAGTAAACCAGCATTATTCCTGACAAATATGAGGATATTACATATATTTTAAAGTGTTATTTTTTATTTTATTTTGTTTACCTCTTTTTAAATCAACAGGGTGGCCTTTTGAAATCATTTCGAATGCCTTTAATAATTTTATTCACTTTTTTGGGTCTAAGACACAATGCAACATATGGTAGTTGTTGTCCACTGATGAACACGTATCGTTCCGTTCTCTAAATTTTAATTAGTACCCTCTTATGGCCTGTTTGGATGTATGTATCTGGCATCCATGTTTTCACGTGAAATCATGTGAAACATATGTAGCCTTAACGCAAGTATGAAGCAATTTTCTGTTCCGGGGGATCAGTCCAAACACGCTATTTGACAACTTAGCATAAATAAGGTCCAAGTTATTGCGATCAGTCACTCTCAATTCAATTACGGAGAACAAATTATGAAAAAGTCTGAAATCACCACCTGTTACTAAAAAAAATATATAGCACCTAAGCAAATTTTGACAAGAACCTATTCTCAGTGGCATGAGAAATTCATAATATCAAACAGAAAAGTCACATGCGATGAAGTGGAAATCATGTTTAAAAAAATGTATTAAGAATGATTCCACATCAAATCAAATATAAATTCGTAATCCATATTAAAATGAAAATTACTTTAAATAATGAATATTTATTTCATATCAAATTCCAAATAAAAACCGCTATTAGTTGTTCGTTTTAGATTTAACAAAAAAAATGAACTTATATAAATTAATCTTAATGATAGTTTTAAATTAACTTTGGTAATAAACCAATGGGCCCTTAATTTCACACCACGTGCCACTGTCCAAAAGATTGGTCAAACAAGGACAGTCCTGAAAGGATAGGGAGGTAAAGTGTGATGAACCGATCACACGTATCATCATGTACATCCATCACTTCAATACTGTTGGTTTTACGCGTTTCTCACCATCCAAGACACGTTACGTAGAACGCGCTAATCCCACTCTCATGGATTGTTGGCCTAAATTCTGCCAAACAGTTTTCTGAAATCTATGCTTTAGAAAAGCCCACTGTTATCACTTAATTTAATATCTCCCAGCACCAACGAGTCAGAAAAAAAAAAAACACTACAATAAGAAAAAAAATCCTACTTTGACCAGTAAAGCATTGGAATGATGATGCAGACTGAAGAAGATTCAGCCGCATACAAACCCAAACAATCTAGAATCTCGGAACAAGTAAAAAAAGAATCTGAAACGTCAATTAAATTAGATATATGTTGAAATATGTTACAATTTTTAATCATATAATATGGTCAGCCCTATGATCTGTAACCTCAAATCAAACTTTACAGTATCGAAACTTAAAATAACTTGGACTTGTAATTTTGATTTAAAATAACAGAACAATTAAAAGGAAAACTAAAAGCATGGAACTTTTCCTGGTTTACCGTTGGGAAGGAGGCAATGAACCCCAAAGTATTATTGACCTCACCAACAACAACCAGCATTTTCTCACCACAGTTCTCTTTATTCCGAATGCTTACTGCTTTCATAATTGTTTGAGCTTGTGGTCACATACACCATTCGATTCCAACTTTAAATTGGGATGTCAAGTTTTATCTGGCCAAAAAGGCTGAAGATTTCTCTAACTCTGAATATCCAACACCAGCAGATAAACATTCAGGGTATATAGCTTGTCCTATCCTTAAAATTCAGCATTAAAGAAAAGATGCAGCATTCAAGTCAGAATCTATACACAACAAGGCAGCCCTATATTGTTGGTTCTCCCGGATGTGCCAAACACCTCCACAACTCTACATCACCACACGATATGTTTACATTGGGCTCTTATCACAAAATCCCGCATTTTCCCACCGAAGCAGTTTTGCCATGCGAGGGGAAAATGTAACAGTTGGGTTTCCCACCTGGTTTATTATGCCTTGCATTCCTTTCTATCCGAATCTCCAATACTAATAGCATTAGATTGTGCCATAATCAAGATTTTCCCAACTGAAGGGAGCAACTGAGCCTACGAAAGGGCGTCCTCGGAAGAACACACAAACACATACACAAACTGCAGCAACGGCTAGCATTGAATAAATAAAGGGGCGGTGAAGCAAGCCCTGTGAACCTGGAACTCTTCTGTTGTAGTGAATTTCTGCAGCCACACACTTGGCACAAGAACTCTGACTTCGTTTGAGTAGGTAACTTTGCTTTTGCTTAAGCTCCACCCTCAGTGACGGTTGTTCTATCTCATTCTCAATTGTTACTGAAATTTCACCCCTTCGTCTATCAGCAAGTTTCTGGGCAACCAGCACATTATAAGAGTTATTATTCCTCATCATGGCATAGGCATGTGGAGTTTGCCCATTAGCATCCATGAGGGATTCCCAGCACTTCAAACCAATCTGTAGCAGCACAAGAAAACAAGTTAAAAACAAAATACAAGGAATGGAGGACAAGAAAAACAATCATACGGTTGTGGTAAGGGTGAAAAGAACGCTAAAGAACAGTAATTGAACTATTTTATATTTTAGTTTTAAATCTTCCACCTCCCCTCCCCCTCCCCCTTTCCTAAAAGCAAGAAATCAACAAATACAGGAGAGACAAATCAAAGCACGAGAAATATGCATTTACTCGAGGTCCAAAATAGAAAATCCTCAGTACCACCTGCCATCCAGGAAGAGAGCAAGTGATATTTACACAAAATAACTACCACAGGAACCTCTGTATCCGTATAACCCAATTAATTTTTTTCCCCTTTCTGTTTCTTGGAAGAAATAAATTGTGTCATTTATCAATAAGGCAAAGCAATGGAGTACGAAGAAAAAATTTACCTCCTGTGGGTCACTTGTTAAAGAGTCAACCACACTCTCAGAACCAGATGTGCATGCTGCCAAGTGCAATGGTGTAATACCAGCAGGACCCTCAAGATTTGGAGGAAATACATATTTCTTGGATGTACTATTTTTGTTCGGTAAAGAATAGTGGATCAGCAAATCAACCATGTCTACGTACTTTCTTTTTACTGCTCTATTTAAGAGTTGGATTGCATTCAACATATCCACTGACCCTGTTGACAACCATTCCCCTTGCAAGTGTTTATTAACCAGCACATCCAGAAGGGTTTTGACTAACATGCAACAGTTTCTTTCCACAGCAAATGTGAGTACAAATTTGAACCTGTCAAGTGAATAATATGGAACCTCATGCACATATGAGAATCTTTCTCTTTGAAACAGCCAGCCAAGCTCATTCAAAAAGTGCAAAGTCTCCTCCCTTGATCTCGGCCTTCCAAAATTATGTTCATGGTCCTCCGAAATGGCATCACATATTTTTTTCTCCTCGTCAAATTCAGACTCAAGTGGTCTCAATTCCTTGCAAATGGTCTCATCAGCTATTATCACCGGAAAACTGTTACCCTTGAAACCATTTTCAATCTGATCATAAATATAAGTCAGACTTCTTAATAGCATACACATAAAAAATGCTACGACATGCATGTATCTGCATGTGCAGAGTTTGCTTTAGTAGCAAAATGCAAGAATATAGAATGTAGAAATATACCTCAATAAAAATGCGCCCCACAACACCGGGAGATACATCCTGAACTTTAAAACCACTCAACTTTATCTTATCATAGATCACACCAGGATACGCAGATCCGATGACTTCTGCTGATGTGTAAGAGCCAGTACCTGTACAGTGAATCCTGCAAAATTAGGGACAAATATTAGGCAAATATACCAGAGAGAAGCATATCACAACATCCAAACAAGGGGAAATTCGTTACTGACTTTGTGCCAGGAGTTGACAAGTTTCTACCCTTCAATGAAATCGAGGTTTCCTGTCCACTAACAATTGCCAAAGGGGAAACAGATATCAACTCTGGTGACTTCCATGTCCTCCACGGTTTGCACATGCGTATCTTCCCTGGAAGTTCAAAATAAAAAAGGATCTAATTCTACTCCTTGATAAGAAAATTCCAGCTATATCCAATTTAAGAAAGAAAACAATAGTCCCCAAGAGCAAAGCTGTGAACATAATAATATTCAATCTAAAATAAGAAGGGATAAACCACAGTCATATCAGGACTAGTTATGATGCTCACCATCTTTGTGTGAAGCTAACTGACTGCCAGAATGTACCAGAAACCTTCCATTTCTCCAAAAGTCAGAATCTGAATTTTGAATTAAAGAGTGAACATGTTGGAGAAAGTTTTCCTCTAGCTGCAAAAAGCACAACAAGCAATCAGCAAGATAGAATCATAAAAGCAGCAAATGTATATCACAGCAGTTCACTTACTTTCTCCCAGGCAGCAGAAGACATTGAAGCATAAAGTGATAGGACCACACAACCAGGCCGTATGTAGCTCTCCATGTCTGATGGCCTATTAGAAAGCCAATTGTAAATCTAGAAAGAAAGGAAAAAAAGTTATTTACATCATCACACATTCACATTTGGCAGTATATTTCGTTAACAAAAATAATTTCACCATGCCAAATTTTCAAGGAAGGTGTAAACACCTGTGCTCGCAATGTTCCTGGGAAGTGGCTGGGATGCTTGTCAAATAGTTTAAACATTATTCTCCCAGTGCGATCCTGTCGGAAGTCCACCAGATATATCCAATCAAAGAAGATTATTTACCTAAGCAAGCTTCGAGACAATACAATAAAGCAAAGTACAATTAAGTAAAAAATGAAGACGTAAAATCCCAAACCAACTACCTGGGCGTCTGAATTCAAACTGGGAGGTGAATGATCAGAGCCCGAAGATGTATAACCAGCTTGAAATGGAACACTTTGAAGGCAACTAGGTTGTTGCATCCTGTTATTTGACCCTTTAAATAGATCAAGAGAGATATTACAACTATGACTTTGGCTAGCTTCCTTGTTTGAATTAACTCCTCTTCCAGTGGATATGCTCTCTGGCTTGAGACCTCTAGGACCACCCTGCAAATCAAATTGCATCTCCACCACTGGAGGAGAAGACGATGGTGACCTCTCTTCAGCAGGGTTACTACTGTCAGACGAGAAATACTTTCTCGAAGATGCTAGCTTAGGCAAGCTGTAATCTTCCGGGGAGGAGCTAAAAAGTTGCAGCGGTAAATTGACTCGAACATCCTCCTGGCAATCTGAATCTTCAATTGGAGACTGGGAACTGGTACTGCTTCTTTCTCCGCCAACTGAAAATAAGTGCTGCTGTCTTGTTTGATCAGCAATACTCCTGAACTTGACACTGCCACCATCACTACTGCAGCTTCGATTTTGAGAAGGTGACGCATTGGAGTCAGGGCCAGATCCAGACAGAGTGGTCGAAAGAACAGCAAGCAAGTCCATAGTTAATGGGGCAGCCGGAGTCTGGTTCAGTTGGTCATGATGGTGATAGGAGGTTGGTGTCTGCGATTGTACATGATCTTTTTTCCCATTGACATTACCAGCATCGAGCAACTTGGTCGCAAGATCCGCAGGCAAAGGTATCCTATTGAGAATCTGAACAAGCTGCTCTCTATCTGGAACTTGTGATCTTCTTTCTTCAAATTTTCCTACACGTGACAACAATCATCACAACCCAAACAAACTCAGTGCAAGCTGGTTTTTATTATTTTCTGGATAAACAAGCTATTATTCTCTGAAATTAATTGCTTATATTTTTTGCATATTTTCTTTTAAAAAATAAAATAATAATTATTTTAAAATAATTTTCACATCAGTTTATTTTGGGAAAATAAAAACGTTTTGTTTTCTTAACTAGTAAAGCCGTGCGGCTTTAAAAAGAAAAGAGTAATCACAATTAACTCTTCAAAAAAATAAACAATTATTGATCACTCATTATATTCATCAGCTTTTATTCCGAAAACATAGTTACTTATTCAGGTAAAATTTGGTTTACATGCTCGATGACCTTAGACCTAACCAATGAATTTAGTTTTCTTAATCGTAGAAATTAATGACTTAGTCTCTGTTTATGAAAATTGGATCCTAGGGCGAGGACCGAAATCCACCAATTACAGAAAGAATGGACCTAAATAGTTGTTTTTAATGCTTTATTTATTGGATTATGACTGAATACGGAGCGATTTCACCCTGACGATTTCTCATAAATTCAAGATAAATATAAATATTCATGAAATAAATAAATACTCCTTTAATATGTACAGTACATATTATTATTATTCGAATTGAGTTGAACTATAATTGGCTTATTTAAAGCAAAAGGTATAAAAAAATTAATTAATTAAACTAATGTTGAATTGAACGATTCTTACCCTGCGAAGCTCCGGCTATTGCAGTCAACAAGTTGAAGATTTCCAAATTCGCGGCGGCGGCGGCGGGGGCCGGAGTGGCGGAAGTGACATCCTCCGGCTGCGTTTTCCTACGGCGGCGGTTGTGCCCGGCGAGTCTCCGGCGGCAGCTTCGTTTCCCCTCGTCAAACTCGGACAGCGGGTGAAACCTACTACACTGCTGACAAAACCTTTGCATTTGGTTGGCGAGAAGCGCCTTGGAGGCTTTGCTATGAGCCTCGCACACTTTGTGCCTCCGGTGATAGTCCTTCGCCTTCGACAGATCCTCCCTGCAGTTATCAACCTGACACATCGGATACGACGCCGTGCCGGGCGACCCAGAGCGCACTCTCTTGTTACCGCCGCCGTTCACCCTCCCGGCGAGGTTGAGCTGCAGAGGAGCGACCGCCGCGACGATCTCCTCCTCGAAAACGACGTCATCGCTTGGAGGCTTCCCAGCGAAACGCACGCTGTCCCACTCCCACTTCCAGGTCTCGCTGGGAGTCCCCGCAACGACGCCGTACGACAGATCGCGCTTCCGCTGCATCAGAATCGGAGGCGCAGCCACCTTTTCCATTTCCCCCCAAAAAAAGAAACAAAAAAATAGGAGAAGGATCTTCCAATTGGAATTGGATAAACCGAAATCCTGTTTCCACAGAAGGAGTTAACGAAAACAAAAAATATCCATGGAAGATAGGAAGAGTGCAATTTGTGAAACTCAGATCTGAGAGAGAAGTTGTATGTTTTTGGTTATTATTATTTTTATAATTTTTTTAGTTTTAGGTTTGTTTGTTCTTGCAAGGGTTGTATTGTGTGCGAAGATTGTGTTGCATTGGTGAAGTGTTTGTTGGAGTGGGGAGTGGCAGTGATGGTAAATAGAGTAAGTTTGGAGGGTAGGTTTGGAAGCGGAAGGGGGTATAGAAGAATCCAAGAGGTTTCGTTGGGCAGTGGGCAATTGGGGTTCCGTACGATGGGAGTGGTTTGGTTAACATTTTTTTTGGAAAAGGGGTCTGTAACCAAACAGTGCCTCCACTTTCATGATGGAGGGATGTCATTGGAATTCCACTGCTCTTTCTTTCCCCCTGCATCATCCTTATTTATTTTTCATATCCATTTTTTTATTTTTCTCTTCTGTATAATATACCTTCAAATCATCGAGTGTTTTTAATATTAAAAATAAAATTTATTTCTTATTTTGTTTGAAATGGCATGATATTGAAATGAAGTGAAATTCCAGAATTGAATATAATTACATTGAAAGCCACATGACATGATTCATCATCTTCATCAAAAGTGTACGAAAACTCTTCACAGTCCCCACCTATAATACTCAAACACTTTGATTTCTTTTAGGCTTTTTTTTTGTTAGAGTGATTTGAGAGAGTGGAAATGAGAGAATGGAAAAGAAGGGATTTGAAGAGAAATGGAGATAAAGTTAAAGTTGTTTGGATGAATGGAAAGTGAAAGGAAAGTTTATGGGAAATTGTGAATGATTTGATTGATATGAGATATAAAAAATATAATTTTAATTGATTATTTAAAAAAATTACCATTTTACCCTTTGTATAAAATAAGGTTCACATGATTATAAATATAATTTTTTAATTAATTATCCATATTTTAACATTGATTATATATTTAAAAGAAAAAACAAATTTAAAAGTTTTTGTAATTGGAAACAAATTTAAAAAATTAACTTTTTTTAGATAGTTATTAAAAATTATATAAATAAACAATTACAAAATTATGTACATTGCATATCCATATTCAAATAATATTGACATATTAAATAAATTATTTGACTAATAATTAAATAATTATAAAATATAAAATAATAATTAATATTGACTGATAATAACAAATAATTATGAAAACTAATAATATAATTGTACATTATTATTTAAAACAACTATAAATTACAGTTGAAAATAGAATAATAATTAAATGAAACATTACTAAAATTATAAACCTATGCACACTAATGTTCTTCAAACAAATAATTATAATGTTATTCATCTTTTGCAGTCAAGTCCTCCAGGTTCAGATCATTCAATCACTTACACTCAAAATTGAGAATACTCTTATACATTTTGAACTCATTTGGATAAATTTTGTTTCCCTAAATTTTGATAAAGTTAATTTTAATATTTAAAATTATTTAACATTTTGAATTCGAAAGGTTTTCTCTAATAGCAAATTAAAAAACATAATATTCAAAAAATATTTTCAGATTCGAGTCTCAGGTTGTATTTCGCTCGAGCGATACTACTCTGCTCGAGCGAAATAAGATCCTGATCGATCATAATTTAAAATGATCGGTCATAATTGGAGGATATAATAGCGGTTCCTATGTAACCGCTATCTAAAGATGCATATTAGATAGCGGTTAAGGTTTAACCGCTATTATAAGCTCCCTGTATACGACCTTTCTTGAGTCTCGGGTTGTGTTTCGCTTGAGCGACTATGTCTCGCTTGAGCGAAATTTTATTCTGATCGATTAGATTTTCGAAATGATCGATCATATTTGATAATTTTTTCAAATAATTAATTCTAATCGATTATTTTTCTAAATTATTGATTAGAATTGATTAGTTTTTCAGATAATAGCTTAGAATTGATTAATTTCTGAAATGTATATTAAAAAATTATAATTAAAAATATTGATTATTTAAGAATATTAACTATTGTAAAGATAAAGTAGAACATGGGAGGAGATGAGGATGATAATATAATGATAGAAGTTACAAAAATGTAGAATTGAAAAGTTTGAAACAAAAAAAATTAAGAAAATAGAGATTTAATTACACTTTTAATAAATTGAACATAATTACAATATAATTTTCTACTCTGAGAATGAACAATATAATTAAGAAGATCACGTGTAATGTTATTGATGCTAATTTTAACAATAATACAATAATATTATTTTCGAAAATGCCCATATGAATGTGAATATTTTGATTATTATTATATAAAATAATTAAAAGAATAAGGTAAATAGAAAAGTAAAATGCATGGTTATACCACTTTCCTTTTAATCTATAATTAGTTAGGTATGAATCAAATGTAAAGTCTAATGTTATTGATGCTAATTTTAAGAAGATCACAAAATGTAAATTAAAATAATTACAATATAAATTTCTACTTTGAGAATGAACAATATAATTAAACTCAAAATTGAGAATACTCTTATACATTTTTGAACTCTTTTGGATAAATTTTGTTTTCCTCATTTTTGATAAAGTTAATTTTAATATTTAAAAGTATTTAACATTTTTAATTCTGAAAGGTTTTCTCTAATAGCAAATTAAAAAACATAATAGTCAAAAAAATATTTTAAGATTCAGACTCGGGTTGTAATTCGCTCGAGCGATACTACTCTGCTCGAGCGAAACAAGATCCTGATCGATCATAATTTGAAATGATCGATCATAATTGGAGGATATAATAGCGGTTCCTCCATGAATCGCTATCTAAAGTGTATATTAGATAGCGGTTAAGGTTTAACCGCTATTATAAGCTCCCTATATACAACCATTCTTGAGTCTCGGGTTGTGTTTCGCTTGAGCGACTATATCTCGCTCGAGCGAAATTTTATTCTGATCGATTATATTTTCGAAATGATCGATCATAATTGGAGGATATAATAGCGGTTCCTCTGTAACCGCTATCTAAAGTGTATATTAGATAGCGGTTAAGGTTTAACCGCTATTATAAGCTCCCTATATGCAACCATTCTTGAGTCTCGGGTTGTGTTTCGCTTGAGCGACTATATCTCGCTCGAGCGAAATTTTATTCTGATCGATTAGACTTTCGAAATGATCGATCATAACTGGAGTATATAATAGCGGTTCCTTTGTAACCGCTATGTAAAATATATTAGGTAGCGGTTATGGTTTAACCGCTATCTAAAATATATATTAGATAGCGGTTAAGATTTAACCGCTATCTAAAATGTATATTAGATAGCGGTTTTGATTTAACCGCTATCTAAAATGTATATTAGATAGCGGTTAAGATTTAACCGCTATCATATGGAGAAGGGTAAATACGCCTTTTCTTATTTGATGATCTGTCTTTCTCTGCTATCGTTTCAAATCTTCGCAAATCAGCAGGGTGAGCTTTCCTCCCCTCTCCCTCAAATCAGCGCCTGCAAATCCTCTCAAATCACTTGCAACAAACGAATTCCATCTCTCATTTCTGTCTTCGTGAACAGTAAATCAGTTCAAACAAACACAGAGAAACTGGTAGAGTTTACCTTGTTCGTCACCAATTTTCTTTAAATCGATATATAATTACTTACCGTTATTTGCTTTATGTTTTTGAACTTTAATTTGATATTATACGATTCATATATATAAACAATAATCACATTTGACTATTTTTAACGTTGATGTTTTGAAAGATTGGATGGATGGGTGTTGAAGGTGGAGTGAAAGCACTAGGAAGATGAATGATAGTGATGTGGTGGTAGGGTTGGAGTGCTGGTGGGTGTTTGGGACATGGTTACCCCAAGAACCTTCAAGATATGTACTGTGATTGTACCATGTATCCTTTCAAAAGATTTTCTCTTCCCAACTCATTTTTTCAATATATATATATATATATATATATATATATATATATATATATATATATATATACCAATAATTTTGTTAAAGAAACTCTAATATTTGCCCATAATTTCATTTCTCTAATGTTTTTATGAATACAAAATTGATGATGTTGTAAGAGTTATTTATTACACGTGTTGAACTTTGAGTAGAATAAAAAAGAGAAAGTTGTTGAATATAACCTCAGATTCCGTACAAGATGATCAGGCCAGCCCACATACGATTGCGAAATTGTATGTTAAGGCTGTTTTTAAGAATAGTCTCTCGGTCTTAACAAATTAATGAAATATTATAAAGATACATTTTATCTTTAATATTAACCATTTGTTCAAACTTATTTCTAAATATTAATATTATTATTATTATTTATTATTAAAATTCAATTTAATCTTTATTTTAATAATATATTAAGATTTACTTAAAATAATAATAGATATTGTCCAAAAATTTTAGTTTAACTTATTTAAATCATAGAATTAAATTATATGTATCCATTTTAAAGATTAAATTAATTTAAAATATATACACATAAACTATAAATCCTTAAATTATATTCAGATAATTAAAACTAAAAAAAAAAGTTTTATATGGTTTTTTGAAAATGCTTTAAAATTTACTGACCTTTATAAAATTATTATCCCTTGCAGATGCATATTTTAAGTTTTATTATATTTACACACACTCTACCGAATAATTTTAAGAAATTCATGTTTTTATTTTTTTTAATTAATAATTTAAAGTTATGATTGGATGAATAATTTTTAAGAAAATAGTGTATTTTATATAAATTTGAGATCTTTCATGTCAAAATTTGATTCTGGAAAAAAAAAAGTTTTATAAATTCATAGTAAAATTTTAAATTACAAAAAACAGAAATTTAAATAAATATTTGACAATTCATATACCATTGCCAAAAAGAATCACATGTTAAATTTATTGCATGAATACTAATGTCTTGTTTATAGTTAAACAAATATATATTATTTGAAAACTATCAAAATTTAAAGATAAATACATAAAATATACTTTTTATTATAAATTTTGAACAAAGTAATAAATGTGTTCATGATATCATATTATATACATATGTAATAATGGTTCTTCTACGATGTTATTGTTATTAGGCACAACATAAACAAATAACAACTCTTTTTAAACAAATTTAATAGGTGAACGTAGTAATAAGAATGTAATGTTTATGTTATCGGGCTTAGTTTTTTTTTTTTTTTTTACGGCACCATAATATAGTACCATTCTTATTGTCATTTTGGTTATTTTTAGTGAGAGTTTCGTTTTTATCATATTTTGTTATTCTTAACACTTAAACTTGGACCTTCCCTAATACTATTCGAAGTATCCACTTATCGGTTGTTGACAAATGTTAACGATAAGGGAGTTTTAAATTAAAGTGACCTCACCAAGGGATAAGTAGTGAGTCACTTTCTTATATAAATGCATGTGTGTGTGATGAATGCTAAAAGAAAAGAGACTTTAAAGAATTAGAATTTTCAACATTTTAGATTATTCCATCTGAGAGATAGGAGGTAGAATCAATCAATATTAATACAGGAAGTACTTAACCAGTGTAGGAAGACATAATCTCAATGTCATGTTCAAATAAAACTCGAAAAATAATATCTTCTTCTCACAAAATATGAAAATACACAGAAGATATAAAATATGAAAGCGCACATAGTAAGCATCGAGAGTTGAATATATATATATATATATATATATATATATATATATATATATATATATATATATATATATATATATATTATTAGAAACGTAATAATTTGGGTTGATTATGATTTCTACGTGTCTTATCGGTCTTGCAACAGTAGTACATGTTTGATATCAGTAGTACACTCGGGAAGATGCACAAAGCAAAAAAAATAAAAATCATGTTGTATAATATGGAGGTGGAGAATAGAGTGGAAATGCTATTTGACGTCTTCCACCATAAGAAAAAAAGGCCATAATTAAAAACATGAACGACTAGTCCATTAAGTAAATCCTTCTTAATGTGGAATTCCAAACGAATTCCCAACCAAATCCAATTGAAAACATGAACTGCAAACAATGAGTTCCTTGAGGCCAAAATTTTATCATGTTCAAGGTAATAAAAATAGGCTATAGTTTTGTCATAGTAAAATATTACTTGACCCTAAAGATGTTCTATTTTTAATATGTGAAAACATAAGCTAATGCCTCTGTCTGTCTGCCAACGAAATATTATTTATAGCCGGAGAGGCAATCAAATTGAAGCATATCTAATGAAGTTAGGCCTTAGTAACAGGTGAATATGCCTATCAAAATAAAATCCCACTTTATCTCACCTATTGGAATAAGTTTTTTTTTCCTCCAGAATGTGTCTTGTGGTGAAACAATTCTAATTTCTAAATTCTTCTACGATACCTTTTTTCTATTTCTCCCACTTATATTGAAGACATCTCTTTTTATCTTAACTATTTGCTTTATTATTTTAATTAATTTTTTTTTATAAAAATATTAGTAGGATGAGTAAGAATGTAGTATTACGTGCTGTATGATGTTCAACAAAAAAAAAAAAACACACCGAAGAAAATAGCCACAACGGAGAGAAAATTAAAAGATAATACATTATATATAGCACAGAATATATATAAAAAAAGGGCACAATCACAATAATTTATTACTCTCATAATTGGTGGCAGAAGCATTCAGCAATCACATCACATCCCAAAGTAAAAAATAAAAATCTCAATATGAAGAAAATAATGACTATAGGCCAAAACTAGGAGTAAAAAATTGCGAGGGCAAGAAAGAATTGCATCTATATGTATGTATGAGATAAATATGTAAGGGTAACTTCCCCATCGTACACGTAGTGATTGCTTTGGAGTGTCCTCAGAAACCAAAGCCTTGAAGCGAAGATCTCAGTGAGCTGCTATTGGCCACGTAAAACAAGGCAACAACAACCATAACTGTAATTATAACCCACATCCATGGTTGAATTCGTCTCTTTCCCCGGTTGCGAAGAGCCAGGGGTACAGATTTTGCCTTAGTCTGCTTCGTGAATTGAGATGGTTTCTGTGGCTTTTTGGTTACCTCAGCTGGTTTCTCACTCTGATCATATTCTTCCACACTTCTTCTTGTTAGAGTTTCTGAGGTAGGAGCAGATTCTTGTTCTGTATTATCTGCAGTGACAGCAGAAGCTGCCTTTCTTCTTTCCTTCTTCCGTGCTCTCTTCTCCCTTTCCTGCTCCAAACATTCATATGGTTATTTAGTTGAAGAATTAGAAGAAGCTATAAATTGTTAAGGTTGTTTTCGGACAATGGAAAGAATTGTAATGAATTAAAATGAACGAGGAGGAATGGAACATAATGGAATAAAATGTCATTCCACTGTTAGATATGTAACGAGGGAAATGAATTAAATTCTGATTCCATCTCATTCTTTTTAAATTGGGTGAAAAACAAAATATGAAAGGACTCAATAAAACCAGATGGAATAGGTTCTACGAGTTTCCGTTACTATTTCATCTTCATTTTATCAATCCAAACAACATAATACGATTATATCCCATCCTTTTCGAGTCCAAATCACAGATGCATATTGATGTTATAGTTACCTTCTCTTTCAGTTCAGCTTCTTTTTGTGCCTTTAAGGCAGCCCTTTGTTCAGCCTTCTCTGCATTACGCTTTTTCCTCTGCTGGGCCTCTTTAGCTTTCTCAATCTCCTCGAGCCTCCGCTTTTCCTTCAACATTACCTCCTCTTCCTCCTTCCTTGCTTTTTCAGCCTTCAGTAACAGTTCCTCTTCCTCCTTCGTTCTCACAGGTTCTTCTTTTTTAACTTCTTCTTCATCAGACTCATCATCACCCCAACGAGCCACAGGCTTCTCCAAGGGAGCAGGTTTGGTAGGCGTTTTAGCTTTAGTTGTCTGACTTGTTTCAATTCTTTGTACCACAACCTTCGAAACAGGTGCATCCTTTATATTAACAGATTCTGTTGAAGTGGATTTCTTTTCTTGTTCCAGAGTTGACTGCGAGACCATGGAAATATTTTTGGACACTCTTACTGTAATGGCATCAGGAATTACAGGGGACTCTTCATCAGGACCAAGTGATCGGCCATCTAGGGTTTGCAGTCTCCTAAGTGTACTCCTAGTGTTGCATCGGACATAGTCCCTTCTGAAATCGTCATTTTTGTTCCATTGCTCCATAATTCTCTCAACCTAAAGTAATCAATGGTGAGTGTTGAATTCAATTCATTTGCCTAATACAGTGCATAAATGAAAATGATAATCTCTCTATTCGTTTAATGCCTAAAAGGATCACCTGATCAACACAGAAGCATTGTAGCTCCTCTTTTTTCCCTAATGCTGCTAGTTCCTGAGCTTTATTTGTAGCCTTTCTGTAATCCCAGAAATGTTTGCCCTGCATTATCAGTTCAAAAATAGCGTCAATATTTGTGCATGGCATTTGAATTTTTTTATCTAAGAGAAAACACTAAAAGGAAAGGAATGAAGTGGAAAGAAAAGAAAAACGGAACCTTCTCATGCAATTGTTTCTTCAAAGCCACTGATTTAGCATACGCTTCTTGACGAACTTCATCGGCTGCCTTAAATCGAGCTATCAACTCATTCAGTTTATCATATTCATCATTATATTTATTTTTTGCGTCTTTAGTTGCTGCATCTGACTTCAGAACATTATTTCTAAGCACTTCCATTTCCTTTTTCAAAAGCTGTAAATGCTGAAAATAGTGAAATATCGCACACATTAGAAATATATCAAAGATATTAGAAATCTCCTAAAAACAGTACCCATATTTTATACCAATAGTACCTGGCAAATGCAATCAGGTATTTAAATTCAGAAAATATAACAAAGAGAAGTTTGCCTATGGTACCTTAGAGTGCTCTTCAATATTGCCATCCTTGTGGTCTAGTGATTGTTGTGACTGATCTTGCTTTCTCATATTAGAAGACAGCTCCTCTCGATTCTGCTTCAATTGCTTGATCTGGCGAATCAATTGCTTTTCTTCATTTAAAGGCAAAGTCTCATGCTGGATCATGTGTTCCATATTTCTTATCTGCCAATAAATTAGAAAACTAAACACAACGAACAGGCAGAAGAATAAAATCTTTATAAATATCTCCAGAAGAAAATTAAAAGCATACCTTGCCATCTATATCCCCAACTGAAATTGCGTTGTTTAATCTGTTCATTGTGGTTTGAACCGAATCCATTTCCTGGCGTTTGGATTTGAGCAAGTCCCGAGCAGCTCTGTGGGCTGCTATTGCAGCCTTAACCTCTTGGTCGCAATCCTTACAACGAGCCTGCTCATAGTAGCATTCAAAATAATTACTTAGATTGGTTTCAAACTTATTAGAATACATAAAAGTTTCTTTTACGCTGCCTTCAAAATAATATTACCTTTATAGTCAGGCTCTCAGCTCGAATAGCATCTCGAATTTTAGTCTTCTCCTCTACTTGGTGAAGAGTTTTTGCTATCTGCTCTTTCATGTTTTCATCATCATCATACCTGGGAACCCTGATCAAATAATAGAATGGCTTTTTCACTATCTCTGCACCCACATTCTGTACATCCAATGCATCAAAAGCAGGCCTTGTGTCTTCATGTCCTTGATTGCTACCTTCATCTTCAACTGCAGGTTGAGCTTCACTCTCCATGGCCCACTTTGAATGTTCATCTTCACTCTCCGATGGAAATTTTTTAATATCAGATACAACAGAAGATTCAGTTTCACTCTTTAATGCACCAGTTGAAAGTTCAGCTTCACTATTCATTGCATTGTTTTTCATCTCACGCAAATCAACCGAAGATTCACTTTCACTCTCAACTAAACCATTTGAAGGTTTAGCTTCACTCTCAACAACACCATTTGACGGTTTAGCTTCACTCTCAACTACACCATTTGATGGTTTAGCTTCACTCTCCACTTCACCATTTGAACGTTCAGCTTCACTCTCCACTTCACCATTTGAACATTCAGCTTCCCTCTCCACTACTCTATCTGATGGTTCAGCTTCCCTCTCCATTACTCTATCTGATGGTTCAGCTTCTCTCTCCACTGCACCATCTGAAGGTTCGGTTTCCCTCTCTACTGCTCTACCTGAAGGTTCGGCTTCCCTCTCCACTGCACCATCTGAAGGTTCAGCTACCCTCTCTACTGCACCATCTGAAGGTTCAGCTTCCCTATCCACTGCTCTATCTGAAGGTTCAGATTCACCCACTGCTCTATCTGAAGGTTCAGCTTCCCTCTCCACTACTCTATCTGAAGGTTCAGCTTCCCTCTCCACTGCTCTATCTGAAGGTTCAGCTTCTATCTCCACTGCTCCATCTAAAGGTTCAGCTTCCCTCCCTACTGCTCTATCTGAAGGTTCAGCTTCCTCCTCCACTGCTCTATCTGAAGGTTCAGCTTCCCTCTTTACTGCTGTATCTGAAAGTTCAGCTTCCCTCTCAGTTGCATCATACAAAGATTCAGCTTCAGTTCCCAGTGCACCATTTGAAGGTTCAGCTTCACTTTCAACTGAACCATTTGATGGTTCAGCTTCACTCTCCATTGCACCATTTGAAGGTTCAGCTTCCCTCTCAACTGCACGATTTGAAGGTTCAATTACGGTGTCAACTGCACCATGTGATGGCTCAGCTTCATTCACAGCTAAAGGTTCAGCTTTACCCTCAACTGCACCATTTGATGACCCAGTTACACTTTCAACTACAGCATTTGATAGCTCGGTTTCACTCTCAACTTTGCCAGTTGAAGGTTCAGCTAGGATCTCAACTGCAACATTGGAAGGTTCAGCTACAATCTCAACTGCACCGTTTGATGGATTGACATCACCCACAACTGCACTATTTGAAGATTCAGCTTCACCCACAACTGCACCGCTTGAAGATTCAACAACATTCTCAATTACACCATTTGATGGCTCAGTTTCACTCTCTACTGCATCATTTGAAGATTCAGTTGCACTCTCAACTACACCATTTGAAGGTTCAGTTCCACTCTCCACCGAACCATTTGAAGGTTCAACTTCTTTCTCCACTGCACCAGTTGAAGGCTTAGCTTCACCCTCCACTGCAAAGTTTGAAGGTTTAGCCTCAATCTCCTCTGTACTGATTTCCATCTCAGACACAGCAGAAGGTTTACTTTCACTCTGCAGTGCACCATTTGAAGGTTCAGCTTCACTATCTACAGCACCATCTTTCATCTCATGTACATCAACATTAAGTTCACCATCACTATCAATCGCATTGCTTTTCATCTCACAAACATCAACAGAAGGTTCAGCTGTACTCTCCACTGTTATGTTAGACACAACATCATCTCCATTCACATGTGTGCCGTTTAAGGCTGTTGAATTCTCTCCTTTATGAACTAGTTCACTTCCTGCATCCTCCTCAGACCTCTCCAACTTAGTGCCTGATTCACCTTTGACAACAACCTCATTCTCCTCAGTGCATTCACTGGGCACCTGCTCTGACTCTGCCAAACCAGAGGCAGACTCAACCTGCCCCATCTCTGAACTATTTTGAGCATATTCGGGTTCACATTCATTCACACTGGTAGTACCAGAGTCGCCACCAACATCAGCTGGAACCTCATTCCTCTCAGTGACTTCTTCCACATCATGATTTTCATTAGTTACGATGTCCTTCTCATCTGAGACATCTGCACTAACAACATTTTCGCTCTCCCCACTTTTACCCACATCTTTATCAGATATAGACTCAGTTCTTCTCTGCACATTAGAAGACAACAGATTAAGAAAACAAACAGGCAAAAATACGCCTGAATCATTTACTTTTAGTCAGTCGGTCCTTGAAATTTAAAAATAAAAATAAAAACAAATACATACCTTATTTCAATCCCTAAATTGACAAAAAACGTGGGTAGTTTTAATCCTTATTTACACTATTTCAACTAAAATGACCTCGAATGGTCAACAAAAGGACTTCAACAATTTCACACACTAGTTTCAGACTAGTTAGAACTAACTCACACACAAAAAAGACATGGTTGTAATGCAAGAGATTAATTTCAATGACTAAACAAACTAAGCTTGAGAAGAAAAAAGTCTTCAATTTAAAATTGAGAGAACTATTGCACTGTTACTCGCTTCTTACCTGCACGTCATCTTCACTGTTCTCATCAGCAGTAGCAGTCAGTTCTTCCCCAGCTCCGACAACCACTGCCACATCATTGTGCACTTCAACACATTCGAAGTCACGATCACTTTGATTCATGTCAGCATTTTCCTCCACAACATTCACAACGACACTGCTTTCATCTCCCGAAACCTCCGCACGATCCAAAAGTTCGCATTCCTCAACTCCATTCACGTTTTCATTCCCATCACCGCCAATCTCGCCCTCCGCAGCAACACCGTTTTGAACATCCGAAGCACCGACAACAACATATTCCTCGTGATCCGCAACTAACTCCACTGCAGCAGCATCACGAATCTCATTCTCCACGACGCCGTTCCGAACGGATCCTGCCCCGTCTTCACTATCCTCACGTTTCAATTCACGGTCCGTTACAGAACCTTCCTCCGCCGTACCGTCAGCCACTGCATCCTTACAAATTTTCACCGCCTCCGGAACCGCCACATCCACCGACGCAGCACCGCCGGCGGCGAGATCCAAATCGCCACCGACATCAAGCGCAGCTCCATTGGCTTTGACGCCTCGGTTATCGTTGCCGGAATTGACTTCTTCGCCGCACACATTCACCACCTGCTCCTCCGTCATTGTGCTCCCTGCAACATTAACTTCAAAATTAAAATTCAAATCAGCAGAAACAGTCACACAAGTGAAATTTGCGCAGAAACAGACGGATCCTATGCGGATCAATTCGCAATGACGGAATCAGATTAGCTTACGGAGATGCAGAGACGGATCAGGCGTGAGCGAACAGATCGAAAGTGCAGATCAGAGAATCGAAGAGAATGAGTAACGGAATGAAACTTGCGCTTTTAGGTGGTAGTAGGAACAGATGCAGATGCAGAGACAAATGCAGATATATAGCCGACACAGAAGAGAGAGAAAAAGTGAATAGAATATATGAAAGAAAGGTAACGTGAGTCTTCCACTTGGTTTCTAAATGATTTAGTTCATGGATTTGTCTTTACACAGCAAATTATGATTAGATTGCTTATACTGTTTCTTCTTTTTCTCTCATCTAAACAATTACACTCTCATTCATTCACTGTATCTGATAGTTATGCTACTGTATCAAAATCAATATAATTAATGTATATAAACAATAATAATTAAGCAAAAGTTATTTCTTACTTTTTAATAAGTATATAATTAATATATATATATATATGTTATTAACCATTTCATTATCTTTTTGAATATATTAGTTTTGTTGTATATGAAAACTGTATATTTTAATATAATCATAATTAAGATATATAAATGATGTCGTAAATAAAATTTATAATAAATACATAAATATCTTCAAGCATATAAAGCATATTTTAAGTTTACATCAAGTACTTAATTTGTGATTCATAATTAAAAGTTTTACATCTGCAATTAATTATGGAATAATTTTAAAATCATTATCATTATAAAATTCATTAAATACACTGTACATAATGAATTTATATGTAGTTATGATTATGAACTTTTTTTCCCTGGTAAAAAAATCAATTTACAAAAATTTTTGATAAAACTTGTAAGTTAGTTATAAAATCAAGAGTTTACCGTATCTAATCCTTTTTTGTATTTTATTTTATTTTATTTTAATATTAATATTTACAAAATATTAAAATTAATTTAAACAAAAAAACTGCAAAAGATAAAATACTTAATATATATATATATATATATATATATATATATATATATATATATATATATATATATATATATAATGATAGAGAGACAAAACCTAGATAATGAATTAATGAAATATTAACATTGTAATTTAATCTATTTTTATGCAACCAATAATGAGATTCAAATTATAAATTAGTAAAATTACTATAACTTCTTAGTAATTATAGTTAAGTTAATACTATTGTATTATTTGTTGTCTATATTTTCTTCATAACGATAACCTAATTTAACTGTACTATATTAATAATAACTATATTCATAGTAAGTTCAAAATGGCGCAAAAAAAATTAAAAAAATTTATTATTAGCATATTTTATATTATTTTTAATTTATCTTTAATATTGTTAAAAAAATATTATTATTTTTTTAATTTATATTATTTAATGAAATCAATATCATAAATAATATATTAAAAAAAATTATTTAAATAAAATATTTTTAGGTTTCATATACAATAGAATATTTTTTTAAAATTATTAAATGTTTTTTTCTTATTTTTTCTTCTTCTCATCCAATTTATTGTTTTTTTTTTCATTTTCTTTCTCTTGTTTTTTTCTCACTCCATCTTATTTTTCATTTTCTTTCTCTTGTTTTTTTTCTCACTCCATCTTATTCTTCAATTAAAAACAATAGATTAAAATGTAATAATATAAATATTTTATTATTATTGATAAATAAAAATATTTAAATAATTCAAAAATATTATAATTTAATATATTAAAATTAAAAATATATTATATAATAAATTTGAGATATTAAGTGAAAAATAAGATGTAATTATTAAAAATAAAATATTATATGATAAGTAATATCCTATTAACAAATTATATTATAATTTTAAAAAATATTTATTTTAAAATATTTTTTTAATAAATATTTTTTAAAAATTTATATTTTAATTAATTATCATAACTCAAAATTATTATAACTATATATAATTATTAAATAAAAATACATTTAATTTATAAATATTTGATATTTTTTAATTAAATAAGTAATTATTTATTATGATAAAATAATTTTATATTAATTATTTATGTCATTATATATAAAATAATTTATTTTTATTATAATTTTAAATAATTAATTAATATTTTTTAGCTTAAATTTTATTTTTAAAATATTTGTGTTTAATATATTTTTATTAGATTTTAATATAATAGTTTAATTAAGAGAATAAGTAAAAAAATAAAGAAAAAAATAGATAAAAAAGAATTTATAAAAAAAGTTATATATCATAACATTAAATAAATATATTTGAATAAATAAATTTATATAAATTCTATTTGAGGAGTTTTTATTTTAAAATATATTATTCTTGTTATTCGTTATATTTATCGTGACCGGCATGATTAACTTAAAAAAACTCAATTTTGATCTGATTGTTGGTTTTATACTCTGTTAAATTGATTTGGTTTTGATGGAATAATAACTGAATGGATTAATGATTTTTGACGCCATACGTTTTTCTTTTGTTTCATTTTTATGTTACATTATTTTTTGAGTCAGGAAAATGTGTTTGTACTTTTTTTTTTGTTTACCAATAAAAAAATGAAAGTGCATATGCGTTGACTTTCCCATCCCATGTGACGACTAAAACGGAATCATGTTAATTACGGTTAACCTCCACATGAAAGAAATTTAGGAAACGAAGAGATATTTATTAACATTAGAATAAAAATTATTTTAGGAAATACTATATTACTTTTATTAAATTATTTTATGAGATTATAAATTAAAAATGTTAATGCTAGTGGTGGTGGTAAAAGAAGTTAACATTTTAGGGTTACTTGCATTTCCTTTACATTCTCTTTGCCCATACCTCTTCAATAAATATGCATTTGAAGGAGTAAAGTACTTGCTTACCAATGCTAATCAATTTATGCTGTTTTTTTTTTTTTCTTTTTTTCCTCTACCGACAAGGTCAAGCCTCGTGCCTTGTTTTAATAATACCACCAACAAAACCAATTTAAAAACCAAAACTTTCATGTGCTTGGATCCCATTGTGCCACTTCTCAAACAATTATTAGTTGTTTTTACGTGCATTTTTAATGTGGTGATTTCTGAGACGTGGAATGAGGATGATATGTATTCCAAATTCCCACATAGTTTAAAATAACCTTGCTAATTCCTTCTCTTTGTTATCATTATTTCATCTTCATGTTGCCCTTGTTAATTGTTATGGAATGACCATGAGAGAACCCAATCTTGTGCACTGCAAGAACAAAACAAAATTGGGAGATCACTTTTCTGACCTAAATAACTGTTCAAATGTACAAGTGTACTTACGATATGATCAACAATTTGGTGTCACCAATGTTCATGCATATGGTTCACAAATATCTATTTCATTATTTTTGCGTTAAATGACTTGATAGAACAATTACATATTTATCAAATATTATTCAATAATGTATCACAACAGAAAAAAATATATAAGTTATTTATATATTTATAACTATTAAAAAATATATTAAATAAAAAATATTTGATATTCTTTTATCTTTTCATTTTTTTATTATTTATTATTCAAAGTGGCGTGTTGGGATGAAGTAGCGTAACACTCACTATTCTTGCATCCTATCCAAATCTTGACTTATAAAATATATGAGATTTTTATTTTAAATTAAAACTAATTTTTTTAATATAGTGTTTCGTTTTTTTTTTTGTTTTGTATTGATTTATGAATACCCTTATCTTCTCTACATTATTCCTCCCATTTCAAAGGCCAAAACTCATGATTAGTTTAAAAAAAAAAAAATATGTTTGTCATATACATATTGATGGATACATGGACAAGTGATGGTTCTCCCTACTTAACATTCTTCATTTTTTTGTTCTGACTTCTTGTGTTACTTTTTTTTATTTCATTTCAAAAATAGCAAATCAGAATATAGATTTCAGAAATAAATAAATAAACATTTTTTTTCAGAAAAAATAAAATAGAACAAGATATAAGACACGCATGTAAAGAATCGGATGGAGTAAATAAAAAACTATTTTCACGGATAGACTTTTAAAATATTTTATTTTATGGTTGCGACTTTTAAAATATGCAACCGAAGAAGAATGAATAGTTTACTTGTTGATTGATGAAAGGTGAACGAATTATTGTTTATGAGGAGGTTTTGAGTTGCTGGAAGAGATAAAATTGTATGGAGAATGGAAAGTTTCCTTGAAGGAAGCCATGATTGAAGAAAGAGAAGAGTAATTTGAAGAAGCAAACAAAATACTCCACGACCTCCCTTGTTTTGGACACTTGTTTCGTCAAGGGATTCTTTGTTTGTAAATAAATAGATAGGTATCATTATTGTACATGATAAAAATCTATATATTCTTGTTGCTGCATTGGTCATTCTTTTTGCGCATTTTTGTTTCCCTCAGTTATTGCATATCATATGACATTCAACAAAATATAACCATAATATGCTTCGCTATGTAACAAACAAAAGACTAATACAAAAATATCAGTACAATTTTCTACGTAAATTTAGATGAAAAGTTATTAATAATTATCAGATCCGTGTCTAACTCAATCTTCTAATAAGACATAATAACGATCTAATAATATGACATGATATATTTTAATAACCGATAAAAGAAAATAGAAAGATATAATTCAATCTTGCGAAACTTACTTATAAAATAAATATTATATTATAATTTTATTATATATCTAATGAGATTTAAAATAGTACAAAAAGCATCACAAAATCATGGAAAAATATATGATATATTTGAGATTAAAAAAACTCAGAATAAAATTGGAGAAGTTGATTGTGAGTGATTTAGATCTAGAGATGAAAAAAAGTAGGCTAATAGTGGTGGAAGAATTAGGCACGTTAAAATATAAAAGTGTGAAAATGTGATGTTTGTCGTTTGCATCAAAACGGTACTAAGTTGGCATGTACTACTCATACAACTCATTCTACTCTGTTTTGGGTTGTCATGGCAGTGGAGCCATGTGATCAACCACAGGAAACAAAAAAATTATGTGCCTTGCGACCTTATTTAATCACATATAATAATAATTTATTAATTTATACCTTTAATTATTATTTTAAAAAATGTTATAATGTTTGTTAAATTTAATTATATATATTTAAATAATTAATTTTATGAAAACATATTTTAGTGTTACCAAATTAAAATAAATCAGTATTTATGTATATACATAAAATGTAATTAAACAAGGATTGAATTAGTATTTGGCTAATATTAATAATGTAAAATTTATACAAATATGAATATTTTTTTATACAGTATTAATTATTATTTATTAAATATAATTTATAATTATTTTGATCCTATTATCATACATTATATAAAATGTAGCTATTGAATTTAATAAACTTAACCATACTTTATGTATATTAAGCGTATAGTTTTTATATATATATATATATATATATATATATATATATATATATATATATAATAGAGTAATACTTGGACGGTCATGATAATTTATTTAAATATAAAAAAATTATATTTTAATCATCAAATTAATCTTATAAACAATATATTAAATAAATTAATTTAAATAATTTTTTTCTTAATTTATTTACTTAAATACATTATCATATATTTTTTTCTTTCTATCTATTTATACTTTTGTTCTCTCTTCTTATTTGTTAGTTTTATTCTCTTCTCTTTTTTTCTCCTCACCCAATTATTTTTGTAATTAAAAATTTTATATTATAAGTTAATAAAAATATATTCAAATAATTTTTAAAAATTAACATTAAAATTATAATTTCTCAATTAGTTATTTAAAATTAAGATGAAAGTAAATAATTAATTTATTATAATAAATCAATTACTCATCAAATTAAAAATATCAAATATTTATGAGCTAAATTTATATTTTTATTAATATAATTTAATTATAATTAAATTAAGTTATAATGAGTAATCATATCAAGTAATTTAAAATAAATATGGATTTGTTAATAACTATAACATAACAATAATATTTATAACGTTTCAAAATTTATTATATAATATATTTTTAAAATATAATATATTAAATTATAATATTTTTATAATTAAAATATTTTTTTATAAATAATAAAAATCTAATTTTTATCAAAATTTTTAATTAGAATAATAAAATAAAACAAAAACAAGATAGACGAAAACAAAAAAAAATTAAAGAAAGAGAAAAAGAAAGAAAACAAATAAAGAAAGATAAGAAAAAAAGAAAGATAACTATATTATATCAGAAAATTTTATTCCCCATCAGCAATTAGCAGATTTTTAGATAAACTGTTAATAAATCTAACTGGATAAATAGTCATATAGAAATTCTATCTATTTTTTTAATATATTATTTATAAGATTAATTTGATCTAATAAAAAAATAATAAATCAATTTACTTTGAAAATAAATAAAATAATTCAAATTATATATTTTAAGATAATAAAGCAATATAATATAATTTTAAGATATTTTGTAAAAGAAAAAGATAATTTACTTTTTGTTTAAAATGATTTTTACTTTGTTGACAAGGTAAATTAATTTTTACTAATAACATGTCAAAGTTAAGCTGGTATGAATTAATTATATATTTTAATATCATTTAAAATTATCTGACTTGAAGAAGAGCTTGAAAAGTCAAATTACTTTAAAAACATATTATATCACTGAGAAAAAAATAAAAATACAAGTAGGGGTTGGTGTGCAGAAAGTCTTATCAGGAAGGGTCCCTCTTTAATTTGCAAGGACAAATTTGGCCCACAATGTAAATGGGCCTATAAAGTTTGGTATCGCTTGCTACTGCAAATGAACGTTTTCTACAAGTTTTTTGTTTTTTCCTTTTAAATGCCAAAATTACTTGCACCACTTAGATAGAGAGATTCATACGAGTGTAAATTGAATAAAATTGAATCAAATAATATTTAAATACTATTTATTAGATTGTTTTTTTTGTCTTATGTGTATATTTTTTCATATTTTGTTCTTTATATTATATATATATATATATATATCTTATTTTTAATTATAACTTTTTTATTTAATGTTTTGATAACTATTTTTCTAATAATAATAAAATAAGTGCACTGATGCGAGTTTCCGCTAATATTGATAATAAAAAACGTTTTAAAAGTTATAACTAATGCGACTTCAAAAATTATAGTGTAATTTTTCTTTGCAAAATTTATATGATTTATGATATAATACAATGAAAAATATTTACTTTTCTTATTTTAAAAACATAGCAAGATATATGTCTAATATATATAATTTTCCCAAAATTTTAGTTTCTTAATTGTTAATTGTATGTAAATTTGGTCCTTTTTTTTTTTACATATTTTTAATCTCTTAAAATTTTAAGTAGCTATTTTAAAATGTTTCAGTTCATGCAAATATCACGGAATCTATTTTTTGCAAAAAAATTAATAATAATTAAACTTTAATATTTTTTAACCATTTTTTTAAGTATTTATCATTAATTATGGCCAGTTGAAAACTTAAAATAAAAATAATATAATTAAAATTTAACTTGAAATTATAAACTTAGTTAGATACATAATTTAAATAAAATAGTGTATTTTTGTTTAATATAAATAATATATATATATATATATTTCAAATAATAAGGATAAAAAAATAGATAAAAGTGATGATTATTTTCTATATTACATCTAATTTTAATATAATTTATTATAAAAATATATAATATATTTTATTTTTTTACTTTAGATATAAAATAATTCTATATGATATATTAAAACATATTTTTTAATAATTAAATGTTATAGTATCACAATTAATGTATAAAAATAAATTATAAACTAAAAGTAAAATATAATTAATTTAAATAAAATACAACATTAAAATAAAATTTATTAAATAAAAATTAAAATAACATAAATATTACTTTATTTTTATGTTAAATAATAAATATTTTGATTAATTAAATTATGCATCTAAAATTGTTTATTTTAATTTCAAGTATTTTTTCGCTCTAATTATTAATTAATATTTTATAATTTTTAGCAATAAATAAATTATAATAATAAATCTTAAGTCTTATTTGAATTGAGGGATATTTTTGAGGATTAGGAATGGAGATAAAAAGAATGAGAAATAAAATTATTTGGATTGAAAGTAAGAATATAGAAAATAAAAAAATATTTGATTGATTGAAACAAATTTTTAAATTATAACATAATAACATATTATATATATATATATATATATATATATTTTTTTTTTACCTCTCATAGTATTTAAAAGAAAAAGAATAAAGCGTATTAATGACGCATTTATTGTCTCTTGAAATCAGCTTTGCATAAAAATGAAGCATAAAAAAAATTACGATTTAAAAATATTAAAAGATTAAAATTAACCAAATTTTTGTAAATAATAAAAATCAAATAGTTATATTTACATAAACTAAAAATATATTAAACCTTAAAATTATATTGAATCATTATCAAGACAAGTTGTTTTTCGCCTGTTATACTTTTCAATCTTTTAAAACACCACAAACAATGAGTTTTCTCGATCTTACAGTGTCATATCAAAAGAAAAATATATATAGATATAACTAAACTTAAATAAAAATATAAATAATAAAAAATTGGAAAAAAGATTAAAACGAAGAATAATTTAAAATTTAAAAAATTGGGAAAACAAATTATAAATAAATTTGCAATTTTTTGTAAAATATGAGGATCCAAATTTGAGACTTTTGTGTGTCTCCTTCTTTGATTCAATTGGAACGAGGTGTAACGGCTAGTTGGCGTGCATGACCATACAATAATAATTTTCATTTTCAAAATTTGAACCACAAAACCCAACACCGCTCCCACCACTAATACTCAAATCTCTTCATCTTCCTTTCCCTTTTCATTTCTTCGTAGAGCGAAGCGAATCGTTTCAGTGCAGCAGCAACAATGGCGGAGGGTGAGATCCAGAACCCAACAATCGACCCAGAGACCGAGTTTCTGGCGTCGAAGAGAACCAACGGCAACGAGTGGGAATCCTTCAAGGAGAACGTGAGGCCGCTGAAGCGAGGCCGCAACGTTAACATCCTCAACCACGCCCTCCACTCCCACACCCACACTCACCTCAAGAAATCCCTTCACCAACACCGAAGGTTCATCCTCTCTCTCTTTCACTCTCCATTCGTTCGTTATCTTTCGTGATCTCTTCTTCTCACTTGTGAATTCCTTCCAACAGAAAACTCGTCGAAGCCATCGAAGAATACCAGGGCGACGACCCTCTCCTTCCCTGGCTACAGTCAGTATCCCTCTTCCTTTTCTGTTCACCTCCTTTTCTTACCAACAAAAATAAAATGGATAAATTAATTAAATCTTGTTATTTTTTTAATTATAATGATGAAAACTAGCAATGATGGTTTGACTATATGAAAAAAAAAAAGACCGAAAAGGATTTTTTTACTAAAGATTACCATAATGTTGTTATGGTAATTTTACGAAGTTGTTATTGATGTTATTTTATCAATGTTGAAGGTGTATCAAGTGGGTTCAGGAGGCATTTCCTCCTGGTGGAGACAGTTCGGGGCTGGTGGTGATTTATGAGCAGTGTGTGCGTGCCTTTTGGCATTCAGAGCGCTATAAGGATGATCTGCGCTACCTCAAAGTGTGGCTTGAATATGTGGGTGTTCTTAGCACACTCTTCTATGTATTAATGTGGTGCTTATTTCAATTATTCCTGACAATTTAAGAACTGTTGCAGGCAGATAATTGCTTTGACGCAGACGTTATCTATACCTTTCTGGATGCAAATGGAATTGGAAAAACTCATTCCAATTTCTACATTTCTTATGCTTTGCACTTGGAGTCTAAGAACAAGTTTAAAGCTGCCAAGCAGATATTCGAGCTTGGCGTATCCAGGTGAGGACCCTAATCTCTTGGAGCCTGTGAACGAAGTCTTTTCTTGTTTGACAATTGTTAGTTATATTGTGCATATTTGGATAGCATTTTAAAAAGTACTTTTGGTTGTTAAACATGCTTTTGGAGAAGATACTATTTGTATTTATTGGTCTGAAAAGTATTTTCAGAAGGGGATTAACTGTATCTCCAAGTGCTTGTCCATGAATTTCATTTCAAACAAATTTGGAAAAATGTTGGTGCATATTCTGGTAGTATGTTTTTACATACTTCTTTGAAGTTCTATTTTCCTATGACCTTTATGAGTTGTAAACTTGCAAATGCTATCCCTCATTTGATTGCTCCATTTTGCAGAAATGCTCAACCAGATGATAAATTGAAGGCTGCTTATAGAAAATTTCTTGCACGCTCACTGGCAAGGCCAACAAAAGCTATAGCTGTATGTGGTGTTCCAATTAAGTGCCTCTTTGAAACTGTTATAGTTGTAAATGATCTATTGATCTATTTATTATATTCTTCTGCTGTGTAGGATACAGTAGAAAAAATGGCTCCCTCACGTAGCTTTGGAACTGTTATCGCCAAGCGAGAAAATCGTTAGTCCTTTGCTTGGTGCATTGTCTTTTGTGTCAAAATCATGAATTTGAATTCTGAACATCTTTCCCTGTGTTGCAGGTGCAGCCCTATCCACTTTGAACACGAACTGTGATCTTCCTGCTAAGAATGATAGGTAATATGATTGTTTCTTTGGCTTTATTTAATTAGATTGGAGTTGCCTATGTGATGATTATTTTTTGCACACGACAGTTTTATCTTGTAGAGAAATATATGAAATTGTAACTCAACTTACGCAACGTTCCTCCCTAGGCATTTCTAATGTGAAATGTTTCTCAGCTCCTATCGATGAATTCTTGATGAATGTCCATCATATTGTCCTCTTTTCATGTAGGACCGGAGCATCTCTATTTTCCATTTATAAAGATTCAGCTGTCACTGGTTATACTGATCCTCATCAGCCAGACCAATCACACTCTTGGCACACACTTGGAGCTCGAGCTGACAGAAATAAGGAAAACAATGCAATTCCTGCCAAGTGGAAATCCTTCAAGGTACTAATTTTCACTCTTCTGCGCCTTTCATGGTTGATCATAATAATCTTCTTACAAAACTGTACTTTCTTTGGGTGTGTGTTCTACATTCATTTAATGCCCAAGTTATTGAATGATTTCAGATTCCACAGCGACTTGGTACTAGAGCTGGAGGGGCTACTCCAAGTGCCTTTATCCCAGTTTTTGTCGATGAAGAATGTCAAGAGTAAGTGGGAATTTACGTAAATTCTGTTTAGCCGTCAGATTTACATTGAGATGTTTCTAAATTAGCAATCTCCATTACACCTACGCACAGTCCATTTACCTTAAAAATGGGGTGAAAAACATATATCATTCTTATATATTTTTTTTCATATTATGTAAATTTTTCCTATCAAATTTGAGAGTACGCAACTTGTCCTTTTCGAGTTATCACCGGAAAAGAGATAGCCACAAAAGAAGTTGCCTAAAATATTAGAGCAATCAAAGGGTAAAATGTTCAAGGTCTCTGAAGATTTGGTCAAAATGTGCTTCTGTTACATTGATTGGTTGCAATTTGTTTATATTGGTTGATTATAGTGCTGAACTATTTTACATGTTATAATAGTTCACAAAGTAAGAAAGAAGACGGTTGTAAGTCCTCAAGTTTGAAGATTAGGCAGGAGGACGACAAGGAATTGAAAAGGTAATCTTCACGTGCCAATTTCTGGTTCAGGTTAACAGAGGGGAGGGTCCTCAAACACATGTATTTATTATTGTTGTTCCTTTCTTTCAGGGAAACAGAGCTACTAAGGAAGAATCCACTACGCAACTTTCCTCAAAACAGCCTCCCCAGATAATTCATTGAACCTCTTCATTTCTTCAATAATTTTCGGCTCAGCTTTCCCCTAGAAAGCTTGACCCACATGAAGGAGAATTGAAGAAATTTGTACGTGTGAGAGACAGCATGAAAATTTATGGAGAATGTTAGAAATTTGTAATGTGATCATGGTTACTTCAAATCAATTCTGTTCATTTGCAAACCAGAATATTTGTAAAATTAGTAGTTTGTTCTCTACCTGTGTGTGCCCTTGAAGTTATGTTGCGGTGACTCGATAGTTGAAATACCAATTGAATGATAGATTGAGCATGCTCTCGTTGATTGATATTTTTTTATTCTTTGAAATTGTCATTTGGCATTAAATGTCATCAACGGTAAAATGGAAGCAGTTAGTAATTGTAAATGGAAGCCACCGGAGTGTATCTAATCTGCAAGGTAGTGTTTCAGGAAGAGTTCCTTTTTAGTAATATTCGAAACATTTGGAACCCTTTCTTCGACATGCCCAAGCCCACACCACATTTTTCCCTAGACATCACAAAAGTTGCCTACAAAAATTATAAGATAATTACAGTGAAATATAGCTGCAATGTCAATTATGCAAAATTATTGCTCTGCTTGAACTAATCACAGTAAATAACTGTCACATCACTCTAATTATCAGGGTGAAATAACGTACATAAACTGTTCACACTCAGTGAAATTGGTTAAAATTCAAACTAAAATTATTATATGAAAACCAAAGAAATATTTATTAATTAAAAATGAAATTTGTCAAAACTACTATAATAAAAATATATTTTATTCCATTTTGATTTATTTTATTTTGATTAATGAAGTTGTAATCCTAAGATATTCATTTGAGATAAAGATACATACAAATAATTAAATTAAAAAAAAGGAAATATGTATAAAAGATTGAAAGTAAAATTATATATTTGAAAATTAAAAGGCTAAACATGTGTAAAATATAAAAATATAAAACTAAAATCACATATTAAAGATTTAAGAAACACCCTAAATTACAATTTAAGACAAGAAGAAAAGAAGGTATCTTTGTTTCCGTCAGTTAATTCCGAAACGATAAATTGATTGGGTAAGCGAAGAGACAGTTATAAACATGAAGAGAGAGCAAAGTGTTTGGAGATATAAATTAATAAAATCAAAGTGGTCAGCTCTTCCTAACCAGTTCGATCCGTTAATCCTTCGTTCCCCCATCATCCGTAAGATTAGGGTTTCCCAAACCCTACCTCAATCGCAGATTCAAAATCAATCAAATCAATCAATCACTTGAAGGAACATTCCTCATCGGAGCATGGCGGAGCACCTAGCGTCAATCTTCGGGACGGAGAAGGACCGCGTGAACTGCCCGTTCTACTTCAAAATCGGCGCTTGCCGTCATGGCGACCGGTGCTCGCGGCTGCACAACCGCCCGAGCATTTCGCCGACGCTGCTGTTGTCGAACATGTACCAGCGCCCTGACATGATCACGCCCGGGGTGGACCCGCAGGGGCAGCCCCTGGACCCGCGCAAGATCCAGCAGCACTTCGAGGACTTCTATGAGGACATCTTCATGGAGCTCGCCAAGTTCGGCGAGATTGAGAGCCTCAACGTCTGCGACAACCTCGCCGACCACATGATCGGCAACGTCTACGTCCAGTTTCGCGAGGAAGACCAGGCTGCCAAGGCACTCCACGCGCTCCACGGACGGTTCTACAACGCCCGCCCCATCATCGCCGACTTCTCCCCCGTCACCGACTTCCGTGAGGCCACATGTCGCCAATTCGAGGAGAACAGCTGCAACCGCGGCGGATATTGCAACTTCATGCATGTCAAACTCATCGGAAGGGACCTCCGCCGGAGGCTCTTTGGTCGCCACTATCGTGGTGGTGGCGGCTACAACGGGGGAAGCCGGAGTCGAAGTCGTAGCCGCAGCGCGAGTCCTAGGCACCGCCGGGAGAGGCGGGAGAGGGACTCCCGTAGTGGCAGCGGGAGGCGGGATTATAGAGAGAGGGACGGCGGTGGTCGCCGTAGACACGCCGAGAGTCCCGCCAGGGAAGGGAGCGAGGAGCGCCGCGCGAGGATCGAGCAGTGGAATCGGGAGAGGGAGGAGAAAGAGTGACTTTATCATGCTGTTTTGCCGAGAATATAACCCATCAATTTCGTTCTCAGAGTATTTACCCGTCTCCTGAGTAGTTCCTATAGTAATGAAATTATTTAAGTAGTCTCTGAAGTATAGTGTGTGTTTTGATTGATGTTTGAAAAGTGCTTTTGAGTGTTAAACATACTCTTTTCTTCTTGTAGTTTGAAAGTACTTTTTAAATGGACTAATGGTAATCCAAAAATTATTTACTATTTATTAGTTTAATTTAAAAGATTTTTAATATTTTAAGAATTATTTTGGCATGATTTTTGGTACTTCTAGGACTGCCTGAATAGTTTTTTATTATAGTTTAGGGACTCTTTAGGAAAAAAGGTAATGCTATAAGGATGTGTGCTGTGTCGGCATCACAAATAATGAGCCCTCTCACTGCAGTGTTTTACTTACGGTAATTGATTTCTCTTTCTCTTGTGGTGTTTTGGTCGACAGAGAATGAAATGGAACCTTTTAAGAGCTTATGTTATTGTGTTGTTTCAGAGATTGTAGGATTTAATTAGATTGGAGCTGTGACGTACTGTATTTATTGTGCTGTTTCAGCTTTTGATATATAACGAGTTATCTTTAATCATATTGAATATGCTAGCTTGTGAGTGTTTCTGCTGAATGATATGGCTCTGGTTTAACGTTTATGATACTTACTTTTGGTGACGGGGGAGGGAATGGGGTTAGTACATGACATGAAGAACAAGAGGGGCACTACGAACCTTAAAGCTGAAATTTGTAATGTTCTTTTTATATATTGTGCCACAAATTGTCATTTTCAGTCACAAAGGTGAGTTAGTATGTTCTCTTCTGGTGTGGTGGCGATCTCATACATTTTGCAAGGGACAACTTTTTTTCAGCTCTTAGAAATTTTTTATTGTATAAGTAATTGAAGGTATACTGGTAGTCAACTCTGTTGATTGGTCAAGTAATTTTGATAAATTAGAGCTAAGTTACGACCCTGCTTACATTGTCTTTTACTTTTGTTGTTTTCCTTGTTTATGCTGAATGCACGCTAAGTACGATGAAAGGTATCCATGTCTGATGGCAAGTTAGGACATGCTTTGTGGCCATGGGCTATTGGGCAATTATCATTGTAATAAATAATTGTATAACTTCCGCGGTATGATAGTAAATTAGAACATCCTATAGAATTGAATGTAAGCTTGCATTTGGTTTGCAGTTATGCAGTTAGGACATTTGACCATTTTGAAGTGTGGCTATGACTATGTGGCTTTGGGGCTGGGTGGTATTGTTTGCTGTTTGCGCTTACTGTTTTGCAAAAAGTACATGTTGATTATTGTGTCATACGTAAAATTTCTACTGCTTATATCCAAGTGAACTAGAGATATCAATGATGGATTTTTCTACTTCTCTGTTAATGTGTCTTCTTCCTTGGTTGGTTATTCTTCCAGGTTGTTTGTAGATTCAATTGTTTCTCTCTGTTGGAATTATTAATTAGTTGTACCTATGTTTCTAGCTTAGACTTTAGTCCCTTTACTTTCCATCTACTCATTGTATATGTTCTTATCATTATAAATAAGATAGCATGATAGAGGTGTGATTAAGCCCTCTAAAAATATAATTTGCTCTCATTTATTTAACTTTAAGTTTGTATTAGAGTGGGTTAATCCCGCTATGCTGGTCAATAGTCATCTTTGGTGAGAAATCCGCTGTTCGCCATTGTTGTTTGTTGTCAGCCGTCGTCTACTGCCAACCACCACCTAGTTGTCTCCGGTAACCACCGCATCTGGATGACTCTCTGAGCGACAACCAACCTTGCCGGTCTCAGGCTGTGGTTCCTGACCACATGCTCAACTTTCAGTGGGTTCACCTCGCACGTGGGGTCCATGTGACACTCTTCTCTCATCAGATCCTGTCGGCGTGTCTTCACCAACTCTTGTCGGACCTCCCTAGCACTGTTCTGATCACTGGGTTCCTCTTTCCAACTTGTTTAAAGATTTGTTTCTAGGTTTTCCTAAGTTAAACCTAAAACTATCACGTTGATATTACCAAAAATGTTCTCTGTACCTGTATTATCCTTCTTAGGAACTCCTTCTTTTATCTCTGAAAAGTTGAATGGAAAAGATTATCTATCTTGGTTTGCTTTAGTTGAACTATGGTTCCTTGGCCAAGGTGTCCATGATCACTTTGAAAAAGATGAGGGTAAGGTATGATAAAGTTGAAAAATGGAAAAGATTATCTATCTTGGTTTGTATTGGTTGAACTATGGTTCCTTGGCCAAGATTTCCATGATCACTTTGAACAAGATGAGGGTAAGGTATGATAAATCTGAAAAGTGGAAACAGTCTGATTTTCATCTCTATGCCTTATTGTGGCAATATGTGGAACCAAAACTGTTGGGAACTCTTAGAGCGTTTAAAACTTGTAATTCTTTTTGGAAAAAGGCTCAGAAAATTTTCACAAATGATATTCAGTGTCTCTATGATTCTATCAATAGGCTTGCCTCTTTTAAATAGTCGGACCATGATATGATGTCTTTCATGAGTGAAACTCTATATGCTGTTGAAGAAGTAACGATGTTCTCGGGGGATGAGTCTTTAGAAGAATCTAGATAAATTCTATATGGTTATGATCCTTCGTGCCATATATCTAAATTTTGAATATGTCAGAGATCAACTTTTATCAGATCGTGAAGTTCCATCAATGGAAAGTTTGACTACAAGACTTCTTTAGGATCTCACAAGTTGAAACAAGAACCTCTAGGAGGTTGTGAAATCTTCTGTTATGCTTTTTACTCGTGGTAGAGGAGGACGTAATGCTAGAGGAGTCATGCTTGGTTTGTAAGTTACATCGCTTTATCTATGGTCTTAAACAATCTCTACAAGCTTGGTTTGAGAAATTTAGCCACATTGTGCAAACTTTTGGGTTGAAATGAAGTGAAACAGATCATTCAATCTTTCACTATCATACTTCTCTTGATAAATATGTTTACTTAATAGTATATGTTGATGATATAATTATTATAGGGAGTGATGTTGCTAGAATATCTCATTTGAAAGAACACTTGTGCAAGTATTTTTAAACCAAAGATCTTGAGAGTCTCAAATACTTCTAGGGTATTGAAGTAACTCAGTCAAAAGAAGTGTTGTAATATCTCAAAGTACATATGCACTAGATATTCTAAGAGAGACATTTATGATGGATAGTAGATCAGTAGACAATCCTATGGATCTAAATAAAAAACTAATGATTGAACAAAGTTAATCGTTTTCTCATCCAGAAAGATATAGAAAACTTGTTGAAAAACTTATCTATTACCATTTCTAGACCTAATTTATCTTTTGCGGTTGGTGTTGCTTGCCAGTTCATGGAGGCTCCTTGCATTGACCATTGGAATGCCATCATTTGTATCTTTAGGTATTTGAAAATGACTACAGGACCATGTTTGTTATATGTAGATAGAGACAACACTCAAATACGTGTTCTCCTTGGAGGAAATATTATTTCCTAGAAAAGTAAGAAACAAAATGTTGTAGCCCGATTAACGACCGAAGTTGAATATTGAGTAATGACATCTCTTACTTGCGAATAAAGGTGTCAAAAGAGGCTTAGCCCAATGAGCCGACTCGAAAGGCCAATTTAGGGCAAAAAATTTGTGGTCTAAATTGAATCAAACCTATTTTGGCTCGACCTATTTAGGTCATGGCCTATATGGGCATATGCCAAGCTAACTTGTAGGCTTATGTGTCGGTTCGTTTTATATAATATTACTTTTTTTTTTAAAATAAAAATAATATTGTTTTATTAAAAATATATATATGTTTTATAAATTAATTTGACAATGAATTCACTTATTCGAAGAGAAAATATAAAAAAATAACTTATTACAAGATTTAATGATTAAGATTAATTTATATTTTAAATTAATAAATTACTAAAATAAATATTGATAATAAAAAGTAAGTTTTTAGTTCTTATTTTGAGATTGAATGAATGTATTCACTTATAATTTATATATTAAATTATTATATCTTAAATAAAAGTTAATTTCATTCATAAAATTTATAATTTCAAAATGTATTTTTATTTTTATTTAAATATTTTTTAATTAATTGGTTTTGTATAGATATGTTAATATTTTAAATAAAAATTCAATCAGGCCAAAATTGATTAGTTAGCTGATGGCCTAATATAAGCTTAGGCTAGACGAAAACTTTTTGGCCCGTTTTAAAATATAACTCAAGCTAGGCTATCAAATTTTTTTACTTGGCCCATAGGGCCGTGCCAAGCTGGGTTGGCTGCCAGTTTTGATAGCTCTACTTGTATGGGTAAAACAATTCCTTCAATAGCTTAAATTTTGTGAGATCCAGACCATAAAAATGTACTCTGTGCTTCACACTGCCTCTAAACGTGTATTTCATGAGAGGGTGAAACAAATTGAGATTGATTGTCATTTTGTTTAGAAAAGTTGGTGACTAAGAAAATTTGTAGTGAGTTTATTGAATCTAATGATCAACTTGCAGATGTTAACAAAATCATTATGGAGTTTTCAGATTGAGTTCATTTGTTCAAAGCTTGATACATATAATTTGTATTCTCCACCTTGAGAGAGAGTGTTGGAATTATTAATTAGTTATACCTATACTGGATCTATGTTTCTAGCTCAAACTTTCTTCCCTTGACTTCTGTCTACTCATTGTATATGTTCTTATCATTATAAATAAGAAATCATGTTAGAAGTTTGATTAAATCTTCTAAAAATATATTTTCTCTCTTTTATTTAACTTTAAGTCTCTCTTTTCATGCTTAAGAAGAGTTATGACCAAGGACTCAAAACCAAAACATTGTCATGGTTTGATCTTTGATGCTTTGTTCTTCTGACTCTACCTTTCTTCTATTCCTCTTCCTCCCCACCACTTCAGTTTTTTCTTTTCAGTTTTTTCAACAATACTTTTGATTGTTTCATTTTTCATCCTTTTTATAATACGGGAACCTTTTTTATTTTGAATAGTATTTGCTATAACCCTGCAAGCCACTAATGAATTGCTACCGACATTGTGCTAGTGCCATATGTTAAATATTTTGCCTTAACATATGGTTTAGGGTTGTTAAGATACCGAAGTATGAAAACATTAAATGAAAAAGTATGCATGTAATATAGTGATCACTGATTGATTTAATTTTTTCCATTTTGATTCTTGAAAAATATCTTTGGTTCTTTTTAGCAAAACATATCTTTAATAGTTATTTTCTTTTGTGTTTTTTTTTTTTTTATTGTCTGTATTGTATTTCTTTCTGTCTGGCTGAAGGATATTAAGAGTTGACATGCATATTTTTCGTCATGTAGGCTAGGTGCTATAGGGGGATTGATTGTGCAGCTGATGTTCTTGAGATGTAGGGATTGCAATTCAAAGGCTAATGAAGTTGGGGTTTGAATTGCCTCTTGTAAGACTGCGTATCTCTATTATTAGTTATTTTATTTATTTGAATATATGCATGTGAGATTGGAATCCTTTTCTTCATATGCCATTTCTGGCTGGTCGACTGTGAATTTTATAACGCGCTTTTTCTTGTCTTTACAGCACTATAGGTATATAAAAGCATGTTTCGGAGAAATGTTTTTGATGAATCCAAGTGCTAAATACCGTACAAATATGAGACAACTAAGATGGGCAACCTCTGCTTTGTTATCCTGTGATTTTTGTCACTTGGGCTATGGTGGTATTTAAGCTCTCCTAACCTAGGTTGACACCATGGCTTGGCGGATGTTTGGTTTAACTTAGTTAGGAGAAATGATCGCATATTTCTTGTGGCTTCTTGAGAGAGCTTTTCCTAAATAAGCTAATATTTCTCAATTTAACCAAGCCATCAATTTGTGGTGACTCCATTGTTTTAGGTTATGTTTGGGAGTTTGGATTTGGAAAGGAAGGGAGGGGAGTTTTGTTTTTTATTATTTATAATTTGATAATTTTTTACAAATAAAATGATAGGTTAGTATAAACTTAACCTATAAATCTGTATTATAAATTTATATCAACTTAGCCTTTATATTTGCTCTCCCCGCTTTTCTCTTTATAAGTTAACACGCATAGGACAATTTAGCTAGGTACCACTAGGCAGCGTGACTCAGGTTTTTTATGGGGCTGTCCAAGAAAGTTCTTATTAGAAGAAAAAGAAGTTGTTCTTCACGTATCAGTTAGGAAGTAACAGGAATTATTATCACCTGAAATCATATGCAGTGCAAGCAGTTTAGATTTCTGAAACCATGATGAGGCCGATGGATGTACAGAGCAGTATGTTCGCAGTTTTGGTTAGACTACCTACCTTTCCTCCTGTAACAGTTGAATTTTCTATCCTCTTATGTTTGAGTTGTTCATTTTTTAAAGGGGGAGATGGGTCTTTGTATATGGTATGTTTGGTTGAGAGAAAAGAAAATAATAATGGTGATATTTTTTCTGTTTGCGATGGGTCTTTGTCTATGGTATGTTTGGTTGAGAGAAAAGAAAATAAAGATGGTGATATTTTTTCTGTTTGGTTACAGCAAAAGTGTGAAGGAGAGGAATTAAACTTGATTTCTAAAAATTCAAAATGTTCCGTTTTTTTGCTTTCCCTTTAATTCAATTTTCCAATTCTTCTCTCGATTTCTTTTTACTGTACTAAATTGATCCTTGTGTGGTCTATTTGATATGACAAATTTAAGGGAAAGTAATTTGTTACTTTCCCTCAGAAAATTCATGTTTTATTTTGTATATTCTTTTCTTTTTATATTTTTGTCCTTCCTTCCAAACACACCATTAGAATCGTCCATTAAAATCAGGTTCAATTGATTGAGTTCTGTTGTAAGCAGATTGCTTAGTAGAACTTAGGAAAAACCGAACTATCATGTCGCCAAGATAGTTTGAATAGACAACCAGTATAACTTGTTTTCCTGTCCTTTCACTTCAGATTTTCCCAGACGATGGAATGATGTATTCAGAAAAAGAGTATCTGGTCTTGTTCATGTTTTACTGCTTGGGTTAGACATTATTTTCATCTTTTTTATAGTGCGATCTGTTGGTATAAATCTTATAACTAAGCATCATTGATGTGAACGATATTTAACATGTATGTTTTTGCACAAGATATAGGACTACGGACATTTCTTGTGTTGATGCTAGGGAACTGAAAACAGTGATGTTATTTGCTGTTTGCGTTCAAATATCTGCAGTGTGCTATTATTTTTGTACTCTGTCAAAGATTGAACTTTGTTGGCTGTTTATGGATCTAGGGCTTTTTTTTTGCAAAAAATTTTAGCTTCCTTGAAACGAGTAGGGTACAATACTAGAATGACTTTGACTTATATTCAGTTCTAGTATTCATGTTTTCATGAGTTTAACTTTGCTCTTAAAATGTAAGCAGGTATAAATGTTTATCTGGCAGTTTCAATATTTTTGTTTTATATTCTGTTATAAAAAATTTTCAGCAGTTATAAATCTATATACATGTGAACAGCAGCTTTTATTGATCTTAGAATACAAGAATATATTTCTCTACTTATTTTTACAACTTTGGGAGCATATATTATAACATCTAGTGGTACTTTCCTTATTTTGTGTAAACCACGTTTCAATCCAAAAAATAAAAGAAATGCATTTATATTATAAAACAATTTCATAGAATATCCATCCATAGATAACTATGAATGATAACTTATTTTACTTTTAATAATAAAATTTATTTCAACATTAATAATTCAAATAAAAATGTCCTCATTTCATAAATAATTGGGAACATATTTGAATAACGAGTTTCATGACCATTCTCATTCATTCCCATCCCCCATCAATCAAATACTCCCATCTCACGAAACAAAATATTGTTTTTATTCCGTGTTCCTCCCTCAAATGACCTCCTTTTGTTCCGCCATTGAGATGGTCGAAAGCGTACACATCAAGCATATATGATTCTAAATTTGATGTGCATATATGATTCTGCATACTTTTTAGTTTCATAAGAACGAAGAGTCAAGATCTAGAAGCAAATAAATATAAAAAATGACAGGAATTCTTTAGTATTATCCTAGAAAGAAAAAGAAAAACACTCTTTGTTATTGATCAAATAATTAATCCAATTCTGGGGCCCTTCAAATTTGACTCAACAAGAAAACAACAAAATAAGCCAACGATGTTGCTTCAATACTACACGTGAAAGTCAACCTCTAACTCAAAGCAAACAAAGGAAGTGGGTGAACTATGAAATCATTAACATCAATTAAGGAGTTGAACAATTCAAGCAAAGAATATAATATTTTACAGGCATTGTCAAATATTGTACAAACTATTCTTTAAAATAATTTGGAAGATAAAAGTATGTGTTGCTTGCAACATATAAAAAAAAAAAAAACACAATACAGAGCAACTAACACTCAAGTCTTCTATTTCAATTCCCACTCTCTAATTCCCTTCAATTATCACTGTCTATGCAAGAAGCAGCACTCTAGTTCATCTCAGAGATTTGTTTTCATTCCCATGGATTTTCAAATTTTTGATATGTTAACTCCTATCTCCCTTTTCCTCCTCATGATGGTGGCACTGAAATTAGGGAGGAATCTCACCAAAACCAAGTCAACTCCAAACATACCTCCAGGACCATGGAAGCTACCCATCATAGGAAACATACCCCATCTTGTTACACCAACACCGCACAGAAAATTAAGAGACTTGGCCAAAATATATGGACCCTTGATGCATCTCCAACTTGGAGAGGTCTTTACCGTAGTTGTTTCCTCAGCAGAATGTGCCAAAGAGGTTATGAAAACTCACGATCTTGTCTTTGCATCAAGGCCTCTAATTCTCGCTTCAAAAATAATCGGTTATGATGCCACAAATATATCTTTTGCCCCTTATGGAAATTATTGGAGACAGCTAAGGAAGATTTGCACAGCTGAGCTTTTGACCCCAAAACGTCTCAATTCATTCAAGCCTATAAGAGAAGAAGAGCTCTCCAGTCTCATCAAAATGATTGCTTCAGAAAATGGATCAGCCTTCAATCTCTCTGAGGCACTCCTTACATCAACATATGCAATAATTTCGAGGGCAGCCTTTGGCAAGAAGTGCAAAGGGCAGGAAGAATATATATCAGTGGAAAAAGAAGTACTTAAGGCCGCAGGAGGTTTTGACATAGGAGATTTATTTCCTTCTGCTACATGGCTTCAAAATGTTACTGGTTTGAGGCCTACCCTTGAGAGGTTGCACCAAAAATGTGATCAAATACTTGAAAACATCATCAGGGAACACAAAGATGCAAAGTCAAAAGCAAAAGAAGGCCAAGCTGAACCAGAAGAGGACCTTGTAGATGTTCTCCTAAAATTTCAGGATGATCGTGATGACAACCAGGATATTTGCTTAACTGATGACAACATCAAGGCTATAATTGATGTAAGGATAATAAGGTTCTATGAGCACAAACTTTTTTACTTTTCTGTGGTGTAGAGTTAGTAGAAGAATTGATGTTTGATACTCACATCTTTGATAATTGTTTTCTAGAATATCTTTGCTGCTGGAGGTGAGACATCAGCAACTACGATAGATTGGACAATGGCAGAGATGATAAGGAATCCAAGGGTGATGAAGAAAGCACAAGCTGAAGTGAGAGAGGTATTCAACATGAATGGAAGAGTTGATGAAACATGCATCAATGAAATGAAATATTTGTAGTTAGTTATCAAAGAGACCCTAAGGTTACACCCACCAGCCCCTCTTTTACTTCCAAGAGAATGTGGACAGACATGTGAGATTAATGGGTATCGTATACCAGTGAAAAGTAAGGTAATTGTGAATGTTTGGGCAATTGGAAGAGATCCAAAGTATTGGACTGACCCAGAGAGGTTTTATCCAGAGAGATTCATTGACAGCTCTATTGACTACAAAGGAAATAATTTTGAGTTCATTCCATTTGGTGCTGGAAGAAGAATATGCCCAGGCATCACATTTGGTTTGATTAATGTTGAACTGGCACTTGCAGTTTTGTTGTATCACTTTGATTGGAAGCTTCCCAATGGAATGAAAGGCGAGGAATTGGACATGACTGAACAATTTGCATTAACTGTTAGAAGAAAAGATGACCTGTATTTGATTCCCTGCTTGCACAATAACGTTCATAAGCTCTAGTTATATCTTTTTTTTTTTTTTTTTTTTTTTTGTAGTTTTGATTGATGCAAATAAACTTTTATTTGAATGACTTAGATTTCTATGATTATTGATTGGGTTTGCAGTAAAAAGTTTATTGAAACCTATAAACTAGGAGAAGAAAAAAATTATTAAGTGGGTAGTGAAATTGATTTAAATTTATTTTTTTCAATATATTTACATAATAAAAATAAAAAAAATAATTTTTTAATAAATTAATATTTACCTGCTTTTAAAAATAAAATACCTAACAAATCTTTCTAACACAGGTATCATGCTAGTGGGAATAAAATGATATTCTTTTCTCTGGACAAGTTGAAATTAATCAAAATATAGCTTCCGGAGTCCAAAGTAGTATGTAAAATGTATACATGCTAAAAAAATATTTCAATTTATCAAATGAATGAGATTTTTTTTATAAGTTAAAATTATCTTATACATAAATTTAAAATATTTATAGATTAATTAATTTTAATTTATAAGCAAGTTAACTTTTTTTATATTTGTGAAAAAATGGTTAGAGAAAATAGTTCCCTAAATGGGTGCTAACCGTAATAGCAGATAAATTTGATTTAAAAATCAATGCAAGAAAAATGATAATTTTAATTAATGAAAATGTGAGTTTTAAAATTTTAATAGAAGAAAGAACAAAACTCTTATTTAACATATGATAATGCTAGAAGTGTGCTATTGGAAAATGATTGTGACAAGTGGGTCTAAAATATATATTTAGTTGATAATCAACTTTATTAATATGAGAAAAAATATAAATTAGCTGAATATTTTACACTTACGTCACTCTATCTTATTTATCATATAAAGCTTATGTTACAAATTAGTTTTTTATTTATAATTTAATATTTTATTGATTTTTAAAATACTAGATTGATTCATAAAAAAATTTAAATGACTTTATAAAACTTAATTGATTAACTATTGATTTGTTAAAAAAAAATGACTTATAAAACTTAATAGATCGAGGAGAGATGTGAAGACAATGGTAGATCAAACTTCGAGTTGTGACTTAAAAATGTTGAAAATAAATTCTAGCTGATTTCTAAAAGATTGAAAATAAATTCTTTTATAAAGAATATATGTTATTTATAAAAAGTATTTTGACGCTCAAGTTGATTTTTAGAAAAAAATGTATTTAAGATTTAGTGGTAAAGTGAAATTTATTTTTTATTGAGTCCCTTTAATAATAATAATAATAATAATAATAATAATAATAATAATAATCCAACAAATTATAACTTATAGTCCAAAGTAATAATAGATAAAAGATAATTAAATAAATAAAGTGGTTTTAATAGATTTGGGATAGGTAGGTATACAAACTCCCCAAGTTCGGAGACTGAGTTTCTTTAGGAATGGAGGTAAACTGAACTTAAGTTTGTCTCAAGTGTTGAGATAAACTAAGTTGTAATTCGATATTTACTTAATGTAATTGATTTATTAACGATTGACTTACATAAACTAATAAAATATTAATAATGGGTATGCGAGAAGACGTTACATTTAAGTATTTAAAAACTCGATTTTCACTTATCTATGCATTTCGCTTTGTTTTTCTTCATATTTCAATATTGTTGTATTTCTCCATCTCTTGCCTCCTGTGAGTTTCCTCTGCATGCAATAGGTATCTTCCCCTTGCTCATACATTATGTCTGGTTCTCTAGTAGAAGTTAGTATGGTTGCATATCTAGGAGAGAAATGTAAATCATTTTAAGGTTAGGAAGTAGTTCTAATGAAGAGCGCATCGTTTCTACTTCTTTAGAAAATGCTGACGGGCCTTACCGGAGATACCGCTATAGTTTCCTTTGAGAAAATGCCTACGACCCAAACTAGTTGAGCACCATCCAAGAGAAAAATCCCTTCTAACCTCCCTAGGAGAGATATTAAACTTTCTAAGAATAAGGATAATAGTAAGGACAAGCATCCACGTGTTGTCTCTTCCGAGTATACATGGGTTTCGAGTGTTGTAGATGCCTATGCTTTTGAGCTTTTATCTCCTGTATCTACTTTTAGTTTCTATCAATATATCAACATTGCTTTCGAAGAATATTTAGATTTGATGGTTGTAGAGTACTACTTACCCTTGGACCGAGTATATCTGAATGGTTCTAATGAGGATGAGGTTATATTTTCCTAGGAGTGTTGATGTAAAGACTTAGATGTAAACCTTCCCTTTAGCGATTTTGAGTGTGTCATGTTAAATATGTTGAATGTAACTCCTACTCATATTTATCAGAATAGTTGAACTTTTCTCAAGGCCTTCAAAATTTTGTGTTCCCATATGAGTTTCGAGCCTAGTGTTAATGAAATTATGTTTTTTTACTAAGTGAATTATGGTATTGAGATCGATTGGATATCGTTGAGTGTAGTTCAATATGGTTGTATGTTTACCTAGTCATTCAAGAACTTCAAATCTCACTTTTTCCGATTGAAATGTTCTCCTTTCGATCCTTCAAAGAGTCTTCTCCACTATCTTGATAACACTCCATGTTTCCCACTATATTGATAGCAAAGATCTCTTAAGTTTAAGTCTTGTGTTAAGCACTTGTTATCTTATGTTGATAAAGATGATATTGAATTGACAAATACTACAAAAAAGTAGGTATTGTCTACAAAATATTATTTATAAATAAAAATTTGTAGGTAAAATATACATTACATATGAATATTAACTACAGAATTCTATCCATGATGAGATGATTATGCATTCCTACGGAATGTAGGAGGTAGGTAATGCTCATTTCTACTTTACCTACTCATTTTCCTATGGAAGTGTAGTTGAAAAAAAAAACTAAAATGTCAGTACCCAATTAAGAAACAATAAAAAAAAGAAAGGGGGCTCCCGCGACCCCATTTTCAGTCTCCCTAGCCCCATTTTTAGCCCCGCTCACCATCACCGCAGACCCCCCAACCCCCGTGTTCCTCCACTCATCTTCGGATCCACATTCTCCCTATACCTTCACACTCGACCAGCACCCAAATCTTCCATCCCCCTCACCTAATCATGGAGCCACCGTGAACCAAACCAAAATTCCCCATCCCTACTCTCAATTGACCCCTCTCGTCATCATCGACCCCCCGGTTTCGTCGTACCAACACCTCCATTGTGCCCTAAGCCACCAGTCACGCCTCCATGACATCACACCTCTCTTTCTCGGTCGCGCCACCTCCATCGCAGCCCGCACCTATCATTAACCCGAGCCAATCTCCACGACCTCCATCCTTGCGCCCACTATGAGCCCCATCCAACCACCGGAACAGCCAGCACCCACCCCCCACTTTTGATTGACCCATTCATCCTCTCCTCCCTATTCTTATTTCAGCAAACCCGCGAGCCCCCACTCGCCTCTGCAAAAACCTTCGCGGCAAACCCAGAACGTCACCCTCACCTCGCCACTTCGCCTCGGCGACCGCTGCTGCAAGCCTCCTCCCCGCACCTTTAGTGGCCACCGTGACAAGCACCCCCGGCAACCGCGAGCCCAAATCCCCTGCAGCCTAATTAATTCTCCCGCAGGCCTAGGTAATCTCGCCACCGTGAGTACTCACCTCCACCACCGCATCGGGTAACCCTGCTGACCCTAAGTGTTTGCTTACATATTCCCTTTTCCCATTTTCATCCACTTCTGCTTTGGTTCTAATTTTCTTTCTCATAGATAGTAGAGTTTTGTCTGTGGTTAGCATATTGTTTGATGTAGGATTCTGCCATGATTTGAGTTCGATTTTGTGTTGTATATTCTTGTTTTGTTGGATTGATTGTAGATGGATTGGTTTGGATTCGATTGATTATGCGCTGCTTGGTTGCCACTGTGTAGATTGATCTTGTAACAATGATTTTTCTTTATGTTTTCAATGATTTTCAAGGGCTGGTTCAGACTTTTGCATGATTTGATTAGTAGAGAAGGTTCATTCCTTGAAACAGTTTGTGTCCCCATTGCTGGTTTGACAATATTTGTGTGGCCACTGGTTGTCCTTGCCAGCATAATATTGACTATTTTATCAAGCATTTTTGTTGGAATTTATGCATCTGTTGTAGTATATCAGGTTTGTTCACCTTTTTTGTTCTTCATTCCCCATTTCCTTGACTGAATCCTTTTTTAATTATGATGTGTACAAATTTGGGGAAATATGATGAAGTATTGTGAGATGAGAGGCAAGGAATTATTGGATGGTAATGTACTTACGGCTGCTGACCTCTGTGAATGGATGAGAGGAAAGAATAATAATGAAGCTTCCATAGTTGGTGTTGGCTTGCCTTGTTATTCACTCTTACAAGCACTTATGTTCTCCATCAAAGCTAATTCAAGTGGTGTATTGCTACTTGAAGACTTTGAGATTACCTATTTTAATAAGCCAAAGGATAAGTTGTTGGATTGGTTCTTCAATCTTGTGATGGTCCTGAAGGAACAGATAAGGGTCATCAAATTAGGGGAAGCTGAATTGAGATACTTGAAAAAAGTAGTTCTCTTTGGATGCAACAAGCAATGACAGAAGGCTTGGAATAACGGTGGATTAATGATACCTGATCTTCTTAAAACTGCTCAAATTGAGGGAATTTTCAGAAGGTAAGTGATCAATTAAAGAATCAATCTCTGCATTTGTTGTGTGGATAAAATGATCTTGAGGTGTGGTTTCACTCTCTGAAGTATCAGTGCTTAGATAAAAATAGCAAATCTTATTGTACATGATAATCTATTCTAGTATGATAACTAGTGAATATATTGATCAAGTTCTTAATGAATTTGATTGATGTGTGTGCAATGATGAACACATTAATTGTCAGGATGATTGGAATGATAAAAGGAGTATCAAAGCTACCCACATACAGAAGGAAGTTTCGTCAGATTGTTAAAGCTTTGATTGTTCATTCCCTGGAGAAAGACCTTTCAGGAAAGACTTTAGCTATTCATTTAAGGGATGCAATAGATATTTCTGAAAAGGCCTGGATTTGGAGAAAGAACCTTCTAGAAGATCCAGTAGGTCTATAGTGTCAGTTGCCTCAGATGAAAATGTTTGACTTGCTTTATTCTATAAATTCATTGTAAATTCCTTTAGATTGTTTGATAAATTGGTGGAACCAATATATTGTTTCGAACAATGATTTTTCATTGTATAATCCCCCAATATGGTTGCCAGTGTGTAGATTGATCTTGTAACAAGTTTGGTAATTACTTATGGACACAATCCGTAGGTAATTACCCATGGACACAATCCGTAGGTAATTACTCACGGATAACATTACCTACGGACAGTAATTCCATAGGTAAATTACCTATGATCATATTACCTACGAATTTTCCCCCGTAGGAAATTCGTAGATAAAATGATATTACCTACAAAATTTTACTATTACCTACGTATATTTGCCTATATAATACAATTTTTTTTTTGTAGTGAAAACGATTAAATTGCACCTATAAACCATAGAGAACTAATAAATATCTCCTTGATCGAGGATCAATTGTCTATGTTTGTAGGTATTTATATTGTGATAATTTGTTTTTATAAGCTTTCACAGTTCTTCCTAAGCTATGTTCTTTGTTCACAAAGATAATGAGGCCTAAGTTTGACTATAAAAAAATGAGAGAGGAGCTTGACCTAGCTCCCGTTAGCCCTTGAGCTAGAAAAGATAAACCCATGAAGCCTAAGGGACAATGAGTGGTACGTCATGCCGAGTCTCCTCCTCCCCTTGAACACAACATTGTAAATTTGGACAAAATCTTTGATGAACACGAACGCGTGCGACTCCGCACCTCTAACTAATATCAGAACTATCTCCTATTGCCTCAAGAGTTATTATTAAGGTCAAGATGATCCTGTAAGGCAATTGGATAATCTTTCTACACATTCAGAGGTATTGTTGCTTTGACATATGTCGCTTATTACTGATCAACTCCCAATCCATAATATACCATCTCTATTTGACACAATTATTATGAGTCATGTGGGTATTAAGGGTAGCCTATAATTGGCCGAGGTGATGATGCTCCATTATTTATCAATTGTTCATCATCTCATAAAGACGTCAGACTTGGACATGGAAGCCAAGAGAAAGGATCTAGAGAAGACTTTGGCTGAAACCCGACAAAAGTTGAATCTCCTTGCTTCACAATTGAAGACTCATACAAATGTTATTTCGACCAAGGCTAAAGAAAATGGACTCGAGGGACGAATTTCCATGCTAGAAGAGGAGCTAATGCAACATAAGAACTAACTGATCAAGGTCAAGAACGATATGTTGGATAATTATGAAGACAATTTTGAGAAGGCTATGCATCAAACTTCATTATTTATTCTTGATCTTGACATCTCCTGATTTGATATTTAGAAAGATGTATAGGATGGGAAGATAGTTAGTGGATGGTTAGTTTTTAATTATGTGTTTGATGTATAATTTTATCTTCTTCGGACACTTAGATTTTCTAAACATAACTTTTTTTATATTGCGAATCTTAATTCGTGATATGATTGTGCATGATTTATATAACTCATTTACATGTTAGGTATGGTTTTTGTATAATTCAAATTGATATGCATGATTTATATGACTCATTTTTCGAGTGAGATATAATTATAACATCATAATACTTGTTTCTCTGAGTGGAATGTAATTTTTATACTCGTGTGACCTCAAGCAAGGTATGTTTTTATACTCATGTGATCTTGAGTAAGAGATATTACAAAATTTTTATACTTGTGTGATCTTGAGTAAAGTGTGTTTTTATACTCATGTGACCCCGAATAAGGGTCAATACAATTTTTATTTTGATACTCATGTACTCGAGTAAGGTATATTACAAGAAAGAAGAATCAACCATAATACTCATATCCTCGAATAAGACATAATACAAAATTTTTATACTTAGTATTCTAGAGTAAGACATAGTACCAAAAACAAGAATAAACTATAATACGTCTTTAAGTGTGTTGTGTTCCAAGCTTAAGGAATAAATTTTTCCCTTAACTCTTGCACTTATAAACATTATTGTGTAGTGAATCTTGAATTCTTAATGATTTATCCCAATTTGGTGCTAATTTTCTTTTCATATGTGCTTTTTGTTCATTCCCAAATTTTCTCCATACTAAATCTCCTCTTTGAAAATTCTTTTTCGCAATTCTAGTATTATGATGACAAGTTATTTTTTATTTTATTACTTCTTCTCGCAGCTCTAGTATTATGATAACGAGTTATTTCTTTTATTATTTCTTCTCGCACTCGAGCTAAAACTCAAACTGAAAGCAATGAAGGGGAGATTGATGGAAATGTCTTTACATTCTCAAGAGATGATTTTGATGATGATTCAAGTAAACTACATTCAAGTCAACATCATTCAAGATGAATTAAGGACAAGTTGAATTTATGATGTTGGTGAAAATGTGAAATATTTCCTTACATGCCAAAGATATGTTTTTGATAAAGATGAGGATTCAAGCAAGCCCAAGATGATTTCTAAAGACTAGATAGAGTCTTAGAATACTAAATATGGAGGTACAAGTTGATGAAGTAATATTATGCATAAGCCTCCAAAGCACAAGTGTGATAAAATTCATAACGTGATATTTTTCTTTGTCATAATCAATTATGATGCATCAGAAATGGAAAAATGTTTTTCTCGTCATAATTGATTATACTCGGTAATATAATCAATTATGACAATTCAAATTTGAAAAATATATATGTTTAAAGAATAAATATTTTTGAATACATCCCGATTTTCTCTATGATATTATTAATGTCCAACGGCCATTTTCTGATGCTATTTTCTATTTAATTAAGTTTTAATGAAAAATAAAAACACACAATTACAGAATTCAAAAATACAATTTACATTCAATCAGTTTTGAGAAAAGAATTTTGAGCAAGGCAACAAAGATATTTTACACCTTTTGAGAAAATCCCCTTCTCTACTACTTTCTGTGCTTTCATTGTTAATCACACTTGTTCTTGGAGATTGACATTCTACAGGCTTCTACAATTTGTTGTCTCCATTACCTAGGTGTGTCTATTTTTATTTTTATTACCTTCATCCTTGGTGTATTGGTGGCAAAGGAGGTGTTTTCATCCTTTGATTTGTTCAAAAGGGGTTTTCTTCCCTAGTGTGATTCTAGGGAGGTGTTCATCCTTAGTGAGATTCTAAGAAGGTGTTTTTTCATCCTTTGATTTGTTCAGAGGAGGTGTTCATCCCTAGTAAAATTTTAGGGAGATGCTCATCCTTAGTGGGTTTTTAAGGAAATGATTGTCTTTTTAATTAATTTACTTTTTACTAGTTCTTCTGCTGAGTTGATTATAATTTGTAAACTAAATTTGAAAGATAGTGAATTGGGAGTCACTCTTGTGTTAAGAGTTGACTGGGAACTGGATGTAGGGTTGACTATACCCGAAATCAGTATAAATTATAGTGTGTTTTTCTCTTTCCCTTATCTTTTTCTCTTTTTCTAATTATATTATTGTTTCTGCTTTATCTGTGTTCAAACAAATTATTGACTCAAATAAATTTTTAATTTGACATCTATTTTAATTTATGCATCTATTCACCCCCCTCTAGATGTCATTTATCTAACAAGTGGTATTAGAGCTTTGTTAGATAAGATATTTCTAAATGATTTGTCAAGATGTCTATGCAGAATCAGGTTTACAGGGAAGAAGCCTCAATAAACAGATCACCATTATTTGAAGGAGAAAGACTATCAGTTTTGGAAAGCGAGAATGAAAATATTTTTTACAAACACTATATTACGGTGTTTGAGATGCTGTACTCAATGGTAATTACATTCTGATGAGAACAACGAAGTCTAGAGTTATTCCAAAGACTTTTGATCAATGGACGCTGGATGAAAATAAGAGTGCTCATTATGATGTAAGAGCCCGAAATACTATTGTTTCTGCCTTAACTTGTAATGAATTTTTCAGGGTCTCACAATGCAAGACGACAAAAGAAATATGGGACACTCTTGAAGTAACACATAAAAGAACAAATGAAGTAAAGCGAGCACGTAAGAACACACTCATCCAGGAGTATGAATTATTTCAAATGCAGCAAAATGAAAACATCACGAATTTCCAAACACGCTTCACACATATAGTAAATCACTTGAAAGCATTAGGAAAAAGTTTTGACAATGAGGAGTTAAACACAAAGATCTTGAAATCTTTAGACAGGAATTGACAACCAAAGGTCACTGCTATTACAGAATCAAAAGATTTCACAAAAATGAATATTGCTACTCTATTTGGAAAGCTGCGAGAACATGAGATGGAGCTACAAAGGTTAAAGAATGGTGAACAAAATCAAGCCAAGACGATAGCTCTAAAAGTAGAAAAATCTTCACAAGACGAAAAAAAAAATGAAGGTAAGTTTTCGGATTCTGATATGTCTCTTTTTGTTAAACAATTTTCTCGCTTTATGAAGAACAGGAAAAAGAGACAGCAAAAAAAGGAGAGAAAAAATAATTTCATTGCTATGAATGTGAAAAACTTGGTCATATCAAACTAGACTGTCCGGAACTTAAGAAAGAGAAGAAATATATGAAAGAGAAGAAGAAAGAAAAGAAGGATACCTATAAGAGCAAACACAAAGCTTATATTGCTTGGGAGGATAATGATTCTTTCACAACATAAGAGAGTTCTTCCGAAAGCAGTGATGGAGAAGAAAAAACAAATCTTTGCTTGATGACAAAAAGTGATGATGAAGCCTCATCACAGGTAAGTAGTACAAATTCCTTAAATGAATATGATGAGTTATTTAAAGAATATCAAGATATGTATGAAGGTTTTACCAAGTTATCTAAGAAATACAATGCACTTAGGAAAAAGTTTAATGCATTAGAAAATATTGTTGGTATTCTTGAAAAAAAAAATGAGTGCTTAAAGAAAGATGTTGAGAAATCTAAAACTTTGTCTAAAAATAAAGAAGTTGTTAAACCTTGTGAAAATTGTAATCTATTGAAAAATGAGTTTTTCAAGTTTGAAAAAATAATAAACAATTTT